AAAATTGAATGAAACCCAAATTATATATAGAATATATAATTTTTCAAATATCATTCTCACCCAACAATCAACAATCACTATCGAAATCACAAGAAAGGGCCGAGAGTAGCGGCGGTCGGATGCGGACACGCATCTCTGGGGTCCAGCGCGCTGGCGCCTCGGTAAACAATAATAAAAGCATTAAACGAAACTACATACAAGCCCCGTCGCGCCATCAAGTCGTTCCATAACAATCGACAATCATAAATAAATTACGTAGAACAATAAACCTAATGTCAAAATAACAGCTAGTCCTATAAAAATAAGAGTATAGCTTAAAGAGTACACTATAAAAATATATATAATCCAGCTTAAGCTGTTATATATCTAATTTAAAAAGTTCTTTTGGATCTACAAAAATATAACCAAACGAAAAGCTCTGCGCACAAGAACTCAAGAAAAGAACATTATAAGAAAAATATTTTACATCCTTCGCACGGCACTCCCGTGATTATTTTCAATTCTGATCTCTATTAACTACATAAACACCTTTTTGCTATGCAAAATACATTACCCTAGTATTTAGAAAAAAAGAAATAATTTATAAACTTTGGAATGTTATAAAAATGACTAGAAAAGAAAGATTATAAATGTAGTTTCATGTAGCATGAGATCGTTTCATTAGACACAGCTATATTAAGAGCATCACACTCATAGTGACATCGGTGTGGAGAAGAGACAAGTTTTGAAGAAATTTTAACAGCGAAAGATGAACGAAGTAGGGTTGAGCACACCGTCAAAGTTTTACTTATTAAATTATTTTCAGATTTTAAATTATTTGAAAGAACGTGTTTGACGTTGTGCTACTAAGATAAACATTTACAAATTACTCAATAATCTGACGACACTTAATGTATTAAATTTTCAATTTTTACGAAATATTATATAACACACAGCATGTCCTAAATTTTGGTTAATACTTTTTCATCTTACACCTATTTAATTCTAAACTAAATTATTATCAGAATATTCTAGTGTTCAGCCGAGTATTTGTCTACGGTCAGTGTGTAAGCCTGTGAAAGTGACTTCAGACAAGGAGGAAAGCATGTTTTTTATTTTAACATTTATTTATATATAAATAAATACCAAATGAACTAATCAAAGATATTATTTACAACGACTAAAATTCACTTAAGCTTACAAAACTGTCATGAAATATAATCTATTAATGCTCGTACTATACGAACGAGAAATAGTCACTTATTAGCGATAGACAGTACAGTGACATCCATATAATATATATTTGTATTCAACATTTATTTAAGCGGTAACGAGAGTAAGACTGCTTGGACTTATAAACAGACGGTTGAGTTATAGAAATTAAAGACGATAGAACTTATTCTTACACAAATCTACTGTCACATCGATTACCTAACTAGTGTGAAACGATTGTATATAATTACTTGTATTACATTGAACTAAGGACGTGGAGTGTACGCTTGTGCCGCTCGATTTCACAGCGCGGCAATACGTCACTGAACTACGAGGTGATTGTTGCAGCACAGCATATTTTTGTAACTATGGAGCTAACCTATCACATACAATGTACCTACGAGAGTACATGACTAGACAATTTTTTTGCGGAATGTTTTTTTTTTGTTGTGACAAAACTGAACGCAACCCAACCCATTCGAGAAATATCTCTGACACTATAACGAAAATACCCCAATAACCTACTTTATACAATCCAACCAATAAAATTATTGTATCTAGGAACTAAATTAAATGATAATAACCGTTACAACACAAATGTCAATTAAATACACGTGACCGACTTACAAGAAATGTCTAAACAAACAATTTTGGGACGACTACTTCATTTCAATGTTCACGTTTATAAAAATATTATAATGTATTTACAATCAACGCTAAAGTGAAATGAAAGGTTACGTATGACATAGTATGGACTCTCGCAATTCGCCTGTTCATGTTCAGCCTCACAAAATATATTTAATCTACTGCTCGGGTCATACGTATATACAAGGTAAAATACAATAATAATGTATCCAAAGTTAGGGGAAATTTTAATATAGATATTTTCTGTTTTCTCTTCACAATAATTAAATTTTAAATCCTCGCAAGTTGCCGTAACACTGGTGTCAAATATGTCGTGATTCATATTTCGATTTCGTCGAGTTGATACATTTGTGCGCAACGATCTTTTTAATCTTTTATGGTGGACATATACGCTACGAGAAATCTTTACGATCAGACTGTATAGTTCGAACAGTACAGTTTATCGTACATGGCATACAAGCCATATACGCTACGAGAAATCGTTACAGTCAGACTGTACAGTTCGAACAGTACAGTTTATCGTACATGGCATACAAGCCATATACGCTACGAGAAATCGTTACGGTCAGACTGTACAGTTAGAACAGTACAGTTTATCGTACATGGCATACAAGCCGTATACGCTACGAGAAATCGTTACGGTCAGACTGTACAGTTAGAACGGTACAGTTTATCGTACATGGCATACAAGCCATATACGCTACGAGAAATCGTTACGGTCAGACTGTACAGTTCGAACGGTACAGTTTATCGTACATGGCATACAAGCCACATATGCTACGGGAAATCGTTACGATCAGACTGTACAGTTCGACCGGTGCCGATAAATCGTTACATTTATAAAACTTTACAGTTTCGTCCGATTTTTTAAGACTGCAGTTCGGAACACAACACACACGTTCAGAACGGAACAGTATGAAAATTTCAATTGATTAATCGGAATCGGACGAACTGTGCCGACTGATCATAACGTGCATGCGCTCGTCAGTTTTTGTGTTCAGTTTTGATGTCACTCGCAGTTCGGATGGATGTGCGCACATAGTACAATTAACTTACAATAGGTGGCGTGTGTATTTTACCTACAAATTTATTTCAAAGTTATTTATATCATTTAATTTCAATGAATGTATTAACATTCATAATGAAACAATATAAATCTTTCAAATTTAGAACTATTATTTCTTCTATAACGCACCAGACGGTTACCAACTAGTTTTATATAAAAATAGCACATTAGAATTACGTACAAGAGAGCAATCTACTTTATTATTTTTTATTGTACAGTCTGATCCTAACGATTTCTCGTAGCGTATACGGCTTGTATGCCATGTACGATAAACTGTACCGTTCTAACTGTACAGTCTGATCGTAACGATTTCTCGTAGCGTATATGTCCACCATAAGATTTAATTTACTGCACATAAATCGAAATTTTACAAAGTATAGATGGAAAACATTATAGATGATAAACAAATCAGCGTGCCACGATAACATGACATAAAAATGCCTCATTAATTAGTGAAATAATGTATGGAATGCAACATATAAGCATCTCGATAAATTTTTTCTTCTATATTTGGCAATGGGCAAGTCATAACATCGTGGCAACAGATCGTTTGGAGATGATCTTATACTTCATTAATTATATAACTAAAACGCACCCTAAACTAGATATTGAAACAGCTCAATTTTCAATTCATGCTATTATTGTACGTGTTAAACTCGCTATAAATATTTCATTTCTTTACCCCGCCTCGCGATTTATCAGTGCACCGGTTTGGTCCCAAACTACATGCATTTGACCTTGAGTATATTTAAAACTATGTTGAATAATATATAATATATATAATTAACATATATACATATACATCTATTTACGTATAGACCGTATCGAGCATTAAATGCATTTTTATAATACTGCTACAACTTTGAGATATGCTAAAATAATTGATTCTTCGTTAATAAGTGGTGAAAAAATGAAAAATTATATGAAGTATTTATATTCAAGTAAGGTACACTTAACACAATGTATATTGAGGGTCATACACAATGGTATTTTTATATTAATAAGTTTTATTTTTAAAAGCAAATTCAACGAAAAAATCAAACTCGTAGCATATTGATTGTCGATTTTCCTACGAATCTAATATCCCCACCAAACCAGTCACGGAAATTTTACCCATCGATTAAGAATTTACGTGCTCATCACCGTCTTTACATGTAAATGATCTCATATATACAATATTTTTGATATTATTTTTTGGCAAGATCTGGCACAGCGATAAAATATTACAAAATTATTATAATAATTACAATATGACAATGTATTAAACTGCACGTCTACAGTACGGCATGTTTGGCACTTAGATTAAGTTGGACTATAATAACTGCCCTATACAGGAAGCTAATGGTTACTTAGTATACAAAGCTTAAAGACAGCTTGAAAGATGACGTCGAACCAAACATGTCGAGCTGAGAGCGTGTTTTTCTAAACTTTGAAAAAAATTAGCTCAAATTTTCTTTTACTTTTAGACTGTACCTACAATATCATGCTTTTAATCATACTTTGTCTTTTATTTCTGATTTATAGTATTAAATGAATTTAATATCATCATACAAGATAACATTAAGTAGAGTTCACATCGGTATAGATTGCAGCTACAATTATAATCATTAAGTTTTTAATGAACAAATTATTTTTCATTATATTAAATATACAACATTGATAGAAAATAAAAATGACATACGCTACAAAATCGGTGAATAATTTTATTTTAATTTAATAAAGGGCCCGACGACAAAGTGGAAACATGGAACACCTATATATAATATTTCATTATGTTTAATAGTTAAATAGTAAACACTTGCAGTTTATTTGCATTACGAATTTTTAAATTAAGGGAAGCGACAACATTGAGAATTGATTTAAGTATAAAATTTACGTATGTAGTCAATAAAACCTATTAAATTAAAGTAATACATAAAACATACATAAAACTTATTAAATAAAACGGATTCTATTGCCTACACACTTTAACGATATAAAGAAGGCTTAGAGTCGGTCCTGATTCCATTTTGTCGTGTGTGTGTATGAAATAATATTGTACAAAACAAAGGTACGGTGAGATTAGAGCGGTGTGAGCTTGGTAGGATTGGGAGCCGTTTCAATGTCCGTTAGCGGTACGTTCGCGCGCGGCGAGCCGTTTAATAAACGAGGACAGCGTCCATGGCGGGGCCTCATGCGAGCGCCGCGCCCGCGCCCGCGCCCGCGGCCGCCTTGTCGCCGCGCCGCGCCGATCGCGACCTGTGTCCGCACACCTTTACGCGTGTACATTACACTTCGCTTCCTCGCGATTTGTATTCCCATTCAAACCCTTCGCTGATAAAAGCGGCGATGCTACTCATTATACTATATTATTCACGCCTAATAAGTCGCCTTTTAGCAAACCGAACGAGGTTTTGAATGAGTAATTTCTTCGTACTAGTAAGTCGTTTTCACAATATATACATTTTCTTATTAATATTTGTTAACGTTGTATATTTGTTTACTTTAAACATTTTGTTTATTATAGAAACGATTATGAATGTTATAATAATTAAATACTCTTAAAATAACTTTGTTTTCATAATGATACATACCTAACAAAAATAGTCAATCGTAGACTCGTGACTAAAGATGTAGCTTTCATCTTACAGGCATGAATAGTACAGCATTATTAAGCAAAATATTAATCGCTTTTATCAGTGAAGGATAATAATTTCTAAGGTGACTAAAAATTTTAAATTATTACTATAAAGGGAACAAAAATCCAAATCGCTACGAAAGAAAGTATTAAATTACTAGATAGGATAATAAAACAAATACATACAGTAGAAGAAAGATAAATTAAAAGCAACGTTGTTTCTGCTGTAAAGGATAGTTGCAAGAGTGTAAAATAAATCCATAACTGACTACTAAAACTTATTCTATTTAAACAACCATGCAAACTGAATCGAATAACAACGTTACTTAAGACGGGTCTGTGCGCCAATAATTTTAGGTTATTTGCGAACGCATCCGTTACGTATTCGCACCAAACGGAACAGTTTTATTATTTTTTTTTTTGGTCAAACTTGCCCATCAATTTAGGATAAAAGTATGTTAATGCCTATTGCACATTTGGCCGCAGCGGACCCGGCTTTCTATATTTAAATTGTGTGGAAATAATAATAATGAAATAACTTTTCCTTAACTACAGATGCAATGTCCGTAGAGAAGACCAAATTTTTCAGTGTAAAGTACCCAAGGAGTCGTAAACGTCGACTAAGAACATGCTTAGTATCTAACGAAGTAAAAAAATCCGGCATTATCAGCTTTCGAATATCCAGACCATAAGAATCGGTTTTGTTTGACAGAATGTCAAACAGAAATTCGCCAAACTTATATCAAAATATTACTTTATAAACGGGGAATACGACGATGTTAATATTTGTGAAATGAATCGCCAAATCTATAGTTAACATCACAAGTTGGAGCCAACGTTTGTGCTAATCACAAATAATTGGTTTTCCACTCTCGGTATCTCATATTTGTACGAGGCAGAGCCACGTTGTATCTCTATTATAGCTGCAGCACGAGCGAGTCGGCTCGATCGAGAAATGACCACGCGTTTACAAATTTCATATACATAGTGTGTCTAGAGAACCAGATTTCCTTTTTACAGGTACAACGAGACATTCCATTTTAGTCCTCAGGGGTGATAATTCATATAGGCAATTTCATATCTTTAGTAATTTGATTACTAATCGATGTGATGGATGTAGGTGTTTATGGGCCACAACATCAGTCACACTGATGATGGGTGAATACTGTGGACAGACTGTGTACCCGTTTGACACTTCTATAAAAAATGTTGGTCCGATATCTTTGCCATTATTTTTATCCCATTTCTTTCAATTCTTATCTCATAAATTATACATCAGGCACGAGTAGGTAAGGAAAAGTGAATGATTCTGTGACACTAGAAAATATACCGCAGTTGGTAAAGTTCCAATAATATTTAAAATCTGCCAGGAAAATATTATTAACATTAAACAATTATTTATTATTAACATTAGAACAAATAAGGGTGATTGTATATGTTTTCTATTAAGTACACGAATCATGGCATGTGGGGGTGGCTTAAGAGAATGCATGGCATGCACGTACTCGTAAGAACGATATCCAAGGGGAGAGACTGGATAACAGGTAATTATTGGAAATGCCAGACATATAAGTTTCGTCAGACAATAAACCTCCCGTTTTGACCAGACATAAAATAGACCGATGACGGGGAGTAATGCCGGAGATCGAAGGGGTCTGGTCTTGCGATCGCCAATCCATTCGCCAAGCGTGGCGATTATGGAACAATCATTTATAGAAGTAGAAATAGTAGAACTTTACTACACAAAAATGTTTTCAATGTGTTGCATGAATAAAAAAATTGAAAACAGGAACTTTTAAGAGTTGATTTGAATTCTAAAGTGTCTCACCTAATCTGTCCGGCGAGTAGAGGATTGATCGCGTACAACCAATCGTGGACTTCCTTGTCGCCGAGGGTTTGGAGAAGATATCCGCGTTCCTTGCTCACCACACTGAAAAGGAATACATAAATAATACGAAAATGTTAAAAGAATAATGATACAAAACGATCTATGTAAGTTTCATGACCATCGGCTACTAAGTAAAACTTTGTGTATGTAGTTTATTTACATTATTCAAAAGTATATACACAAAATTTCCACATGGTAGAGCTACGCTCGAGCTATATTATAGATGTAGAACGAATGGGTCGGATCCATAGAGAAAGAACCAAGCTCTCACAGTATACCAACGTAATATAGCAATTTAATGCTGCTGTTTTGTATGGCAAATATAGAAACGAAGCATTTCATCTTAGTCCTCAGGAGTGACAACGCATCTGCAGTTTGATTTTTAAATGAAGATAAATGCAGATGTCTATGAGCCACAGCATCCACTTAACATCAGGCGGACCGTATGCTTGTAAGTCACACACTTATTTATAAAAAAAATGTAGTGACTTTAAATAGGTTTAACAACATGCTAAGTAAGAAAAGTAAAATAGTTTAAAAGGTTATAACATGATATAACAAGTTACCTGAAGGTGTTAGGCATGCGGACCATCTGCTCCTGGTCTTCGGAGTACTCGACGTGCGCGTTGGCGAGGTTAATGACCGCGCGCTCGATGGGGTCGCGCTCGTCGCGGTAGATGAACACGTAGGGCCGGCGGACCACCTGCGCACAAATACCATTTGCCATTGCGTCGCCACTCGTCATCATCGTCCGATCATAAACGTAGGCTTAACAGTCAGTAGTATCTACTCGACTACTAATGACCATCAAAGTCACAACCTAGTGTGCTGTGTGTGCTGTAAAAGGCTACAGGGGGAAACTAACTAGGAGATAGGCAGCAACCGGTGGCGAAGCCTCCATAGAAGCCCAGAAGCCGGGTTTGCCCTATCAAACTGCTCAATCAATAATATCAACTAATAAAATAACTCGTAAATTGTTTCAAATTATTTCAAATTTCCCGCGCGCTCCTCTGTTCTGCACAGGTCATGAACTCGTAGCATATATGTAACGTCAACACTTGGCAGTTTGCTTTCAATTCTAAATACACTGATTCGTGTTCTCTCTGTCTCAAAGAAAACACGCAACAGACTATCAAAATTAATGAAAGCAAAGAGTTGAGTTGGGCGATTAGTCATCTCTCTCGCACGCATGGCCCTTTTACTGGGATTTCAAGAAGACGATCGCTCCCTTTCTAAACTGTGGAAAAATGTTCTATAATGAAATATAACTACGATTGTTTACATAGCAATTTAGTATAGAGCGTTAAGCCGGGCTTTTGGTATGAAGTTGATGAAAGTGAAGCGCGGGCGATACGTTTGCAAGTTCACTTCACATTTCAGTGTTTATTTACTGTGTGTGTTTAGCTTGAACGAATGAATATTGTGCGTTGTAAATTTATGCTTCTTTAAAGATTTTTAGTGAAATGGAGGATAATAGTGTTCCTTGTGATGAATTAAAGCGTGTTAAAGTGCTAATCGGCGAGGAAAAGGTAAAATATTTAAAAATGGAATTTTAATTCAATAACCATTTCTTAATGCTTTAATAGGTACAGGACTCTTTAGTATTAAAGTTTAATTAATCTAGGCGTATTTAAAGGTTTAATAATTAAATATTTATATTATCATATGAGTTAAAAATATCATTTTGAACGGCAGCATAAAATATGAGATATAAGTTTAATTTTATAGCAAATAATTGTTACAATCTTTTTTTAATATGAAGCCTAAATTTTAATGTAATAAATCAAAAGAATACATGTATTGAGGTTTTTAATGAATATTTCCTTTAGTCCTTCAGTATATAAAATTTTAATAGGGCCAAGTCATTGATTAACTCTCACGGTGGTCACGTAAAGAATACGCTAGATGGCACAAACACGCTATCGGCTAATTTAATAATTCAATATTTATATTAATATTTATATTACCATACAAGTTAAAAATATCATTTTGTATGGTTTATTAAAATTCAAAATTAATAATAAACAGTCATTATTTTATGGAAAAAATTGTAATGCTTTATCTCATTCCTGAACCTTAAACAAAATAATTTCGATGTTTCACATCTGCCAGTCCTCCCTTTTTTAATTTTGTACACAGTTTGTTTGTACTTTGTTCATGCTTTTCTTTTGTTCATGTATTGTATTGTAAGTAAATATCTTTTTCTTTCGCTCGAGCAAACCCAAACGACTTTTTTCAAAGCCACCGAAGGTATGCAATTGCTGATATTTCATACAATCTATCTAGCAGTAGTATGCCTTCTGTGTGCTTTGTTAAATACGTCCTCGACAACACTGAATATGAAACTGAAGAGTGGAGACAGATCAAGATTGGTGTATTTTTATAAAACTGCTAAAAACAACAAAACCATATCTTGGGTTTGCCCTAGTTTGAAGCCCTAGCTTCGCCACTGGCAGCAACGTCTTTATAATAAAAATTAAATAAGTAAAAACTGCAAACTTTGGGGACAGCCATGTTAAGCAGTGAACTTTTGATAAGCTGAAACGGTAGTAACAGTAACGATCAAAATATTTTCTACACTATAAAAGATAGAAAATAAATGAGGTTCGTGTTATGTCACGAATAATTTTGAAAATTTAAAGAAGGCTTACAATTGTGATTACAATAAAATAAATAGTTTATTATTGTTTTATTAAAGAACAAATTGTTCCAAATTATAATTATAATATCATCATCAGTCACACACAACTTAGGTACTAGTCTGGTACTTTTCTTATACTTCACACTAATATTACCTATTGTGAAGAGAGAATAAACGTATTCATTCATTGCTAATCTAACAATAGGTTTAAATTAATCCTAATTAACAGAATTAAGAAATTGTATGAGTTTTCGAAAATTCCGCTGTCAGACTAAGAGCAATATAAGTTCTAGAGATTTTGATCAATTTGATTAAAAAAATGTTTACTAATAAGTTATAAACGTATCTTTCATCGAGACGTGTCTTTGATAAAAACGGAATATAATGTCCAATGTTTTAAGAGTTTAAATGTTGTTTAAGGGGAAGACTGGGTAATGAAAAAAATAAATGCTTGCTAAAACAGTGTATGTGTGCGCTGACCTTGACAGCCAAAAGCAAGATGAAGTGTTTTTTCAAAATATAATACACGTAAGTTGAGCATAGTTTAACGACAACTATTATGGTTAATTTACTAAGGCTAGCAAGAAATATGTGAGAGAAGAGGAGAATACTATAAGTACCGTATTATTATACCGTTTAATTATGAGTTGAGTTTAATAGTTTTCCCATAATATTAATGTTCTGTCAAATTTATTAAAGCATTTGAGATATTCTTTTCGGCAGAAGGCCCTGTAGCCAATGCCACAAAAAATGAAAAAAATATGCATCTCACCAGCCAGCGCTTCTTCCAGCCGTGCGTGCCGTGCTGCAGCACGTTGAGGTAACCGCGGCGCGCCACGGCGGCCGACACGCGCACCTCACTCGCAGTCGGGCACGAACAGCGCGCCCGCGCCGCCGCCCGCCGCGCCGCCCCACGCCGCCATCTGGCGCTCCAGCAGCGCGCGCTCTGGCGAGCACAGCCTGCGCCGCAACACGCCACCACGCCCACATGTTAGCCTAGTACTTCCACATTTAACTATCTGCAGCTCCGGCAGGAACGCCCTGCCGCACACCACCACGCCGACATGTTAGCCTAGTACTTTTAGTAGTAGCTTTTAACTAGGTGTATCTGCCGCTCCAGTAGCGTGAGCTCTGGCGAGCAGATTTCAAAAGTTCGCTAAATTCAGCAAAAATTCGCTACTTTGAGCCTTTACAGGAGAATGGTGAGATTGGTTTTAACCAAATTCAGGTCTTCACTAAGCCGCCTTTTAGCACGCCTTTTCATTGAGTTTAAAGCTACTGGGTTGCCCTGGACTCAATGAACCACTCAAATTTTAGGTTCGACGAAATCTCAACCTCTAACAACCGAAGGCTGTCGATGTATTCCAATGATAAATTTCGGAAAGAAGCCAAGGTGAGCTGGCTTATTTACATTCCGACGTGCGTAACAAGGAGCTATAGCAGTAGGAGTCGTCCTCTGTCGAAAAGGAACCGCTATAGAGCAGGTCCTACTAAGGCCTGGGGTCACATGGACATACATCGAATTTGTAGACACCTTACAGTCTCAATTTATTTTTGAGCTTATATTAAATGTTATGTACTCACTCAAAACTGCTTGCACTGTGGATGGACGATAAGAGACTGGGAGTGGAAATATCTGCGGAGACGCCTTCGTCCACAGGCGAAGATGGGGATACGGCGGTTTCCACTTCTTTTCCACTCGATCCTATCCGGCCTGAAATATGTAATAGAAATGTACCCTAAGAGATTGCTATCGCACGCAAAAATAACTTTTTTTTCTACTTCTAATACGCTGTATATGTAAGTTATGGAAGTCTGTATATAAAAGTATATAAAAAACTATTTTCGATATTTTCATTAGGGGTTTTTTAACAATAATATCAATAATGTCTTTTCCATTAAATATATTTTAATGTAATAAAATAGTTTTTCAATTATGTATACTTCTTTTGATAGACTGAATGGATAATGGATAGCTAAAATACTCAATTGAATTCTTTTCTTTTTAAGTACTGTTTTATTTTGTAAACGACAACCATGTAATGTTTTTTTAGCATGTAATTAAATTATTTTTTTAATCGACTACATTTTTATTGAGATCTTTTATTTCCTGTTAATAAAAAATCCTGTTGTAACTTTTTTTTCCACCGAATGTTGCATGCTTAATATATTCTGGACAGCGAGAAGGGAGCGCTAAAAGCCTTTTAAAGTAGGAACTCCTCGCTTTAATGTAGCCCTAGTCGATGGCACAAACTAAGAGGTGGGCGGGGTTAAAATGCATGCTATCTCAGTCGACATCACGTGCGAAAGCGAATGGCATGATGATTTACAAGAAAACGAGCGCGCGAAATTTTATAAACAGACCTTTGGGAATCTGGATATCATGAAATATTTATTGAATGTATCTGTTCAAAATAAAATTATTTGCACTTTTGAACACCTAATATATCCCTGTATGGTAACTGTTTTGAATTTTCGTTCTTCGTATGGTATTTATTTCCGCCCAAAGATGTGTTAAAATTAGTACTTTTAAATATATTCTTTTTTTACTTTTTTGTTTCCACACACGGCTAGATAATGATGATACAAATTGAAATCATTTTTTATTTTGAACGTACACCATCAAACAGTGGAGTAATCGCCATACTACGTTTGTATGGAATAATGACTAGTGTATCCTTAAGAAATGTGTTTGAGTACGAACAATAATATACTACGGGGAGTTTTGGCGGGGACTCGATCGCCGGCAGGTTGTTGCTCCTGTTTTATTGTTTTAATAATGGTTTGAAGCGGGTTTTAATACGTAAAAGTGATACGACTTTATGTATTGTTTGTGTATGTGCATGTATTCTAGCTAGAAATGACGAAACAAGTGTCCTGATGTTAATTTTAAACTTCAAGTTATTTTTTTTAGCTTAGGCGCTTTAGGAACTTGACATACTCCCGTCATCGACTATTTGTCGGGTTAAGTTGTCGTCAAAATTTCTTTAGAATTTCTAATTGTAATGTAATGTATTGTAAAGAGGTTTTTGAAACAAAATATTATAAATGATAATGTCTTATTCTTGATACTCGCAAAAGTACAACGGTACGCGTCCATTAGCAAAGTAAAAAAATAGCACTGACCCTGTATGAGCTTGATGTACTTGGTGGCGAGGTCGCGCTCGCGCGGCGACATGTCCCACGGCTCGTACAGCGCCTCGTCGCGCGCCAGCGCCGCGTGCGCGCACTCGCCCGCCGCCTTCGCCGCCATGTTGCACACCTCCTGCCAGACAGTTTGCATGCATTGGCTGCGTTTGGCAGAAAAAAGCGCTAGGAAGCGCTTGAAGCGCTTGTAAGTAAAATGGCGATCGTAAGCGGTAAGCTCTGTCAAATGGTAAATAGCTATTTTCCTCTAGGACACGAAGTTAGCTTTAACCGGGGAACCTAACCTAATTTAAATATATGTTTGTGAAGTATTCATATAAAAACTTACCAATCATGAATTTTTAATAACATGTATAATATGTTTATTCATGTCATTATATTACTTAAAACTAATATTGCACAAAACAACTTATAAACTCTACTTCAAAATAAACAAAGTAAACAAGCAAAATGGCGGATTGTGTCATCGCTACTGAAGTTAGCAAACGTGTCCTGACCGAAAATTGTATAGTTTCACCATTTTGCTTACAAGCGCTTCCTAGCGCTTTTTTTCTGCTAAACACACCCATGCATCGCTTTAACACTCGTTTGATTAGAATTTAGGGTTCCGTACCCAAAAAAAGAAAGATAAAAACGTTTATTGCATTAACGTCATTCTACTGTCTGACTCTTCGCCTGTCCATCGGAATGTCAAGGTTTTTTTAACTCGTAGTTAGATAAGTTACGTGCCTTTATTTAGGTATTTGGGTATAGAATGTCGACAAAAAACTGAATTAAATTTAATTATTTTCCATAGAGGTAGTAGTAGTTCATACGTGGGAAAAATGTCGAAAATCCTGGCATGTTAGGTGTTATTATCTAAAGCTCATTAAAATATGTTTTTATTCTCTTCTATCTTCAAAAATTAACAAATATCCAACCGTCCAAACTGTCAGTTATGTAAATGTAAATAATTAGAAAATTTAAAATTTCAGTAAATTATTTACCGCAAACAAAAAATACCAAAAATAACGATTCATAATTTAATCAGTACGATGTAAGCAACAAAAACCAACATTTGTTTGGTAAAAATCTTAAATCTTTATAATAATATGTTTCTTTGGCGTATTTTTAGATAGCAAATCTAATTCAAAGCACACCAAACCTTCTCTGTCTTGGTGAAGTCGTTGGGCGCGACGGTGTTTTCGTGTCCGTGGCGCAGGCGCTCGCGTAACGCAAGGAAGTGACGCGTGCGCCCAACTTGCTCCAGACGCGTCATTTTCTCCAGCTCCCACTGTATCCACAACACGCCAGTATATCAAAGTGTGTATCATTGTATGTGTGACTTACATATAGTTTAATACAGTGAACGATAATTAAATCAACAAAATTTTTAATAAGCCTTTCATTTTTTATATGTCTAATAATGGTTAGTGTAAGGTCTACGAAACTAAAGGGTTGTGGGTACGAATCCGCTATTCCACTACTATCACGAACCACTTCTAATACAAGCTTAGCTGAAGTGGTTAACACTAATGTTAAGTGTCTAGTATTTTTTTTAAATAAATATCGTGATAATACAAAAATATTGTTGATATTTTATAATCTATTTTTACTTACTTTTTACTACAGAAAATATTCATTCTTTAAAAAATTACCAAATTTCCACTGCCGTGGCTGTGTACACGAATGGTTTTTTGAAAATGTGTTTGTTTTTGTTTTAATACGAACGCTAGATTAAAATATATATAGAAACTATAAACGAATCATTATAGCGGCTAAGTTTAAGTAAACAAAACAAATTTACAATATTTAGTATTTAACGCAAACTGACAGAAGTACGGAACATCTGAAAAGCGAATATGATTCATGTGTAAAGCGATAGCGCATGACGTGATATGTAGCCAAAACTCGATGAAATATTTCAACAACAAAAATTTCTGTAATATTAAAAAAAACAACAGTATAATGTAAAAATAAAATATGTTAGAAAAAGTATTAATGCAATAATGTTTTTATAATTATATATAAAATATAGAACCGTGTAATATGTATATAACTTTTATTATATTACGTAAATATCTACAGTAAAAGTTATTATGGATAATATATTTTAGTTAATCTTTCTAGAGATTTTAAGTCTAGTTTAACGTCTAATATTGCAAGGCTATAATTATACGTATAAAATCTATTAATACTTATAGAAATTGTGTCTGGCTATACAACAGAACAGCAATGATAATGACAAATTAATACATAATGATATATAGGCGCCCACGTATCCACATAAAAAATCTGCCCTCGACATAATGCGTGAAAATGTAATGCACAAAATACCAGTACACAAATTAATTTTCGGTAGCTATTTAGTATGGAAATGACATTACATATTAGATGAATGATTGCGGGTTCGCACATACTAAATAGCTAAGGAAACATTTGTGGACCTGGGATCTATCGATAACGTCCAGCGGCCAATCATAAATCAGCTTGCGCACGATACGTTTCTGCTGGCGAGGAAAATTCATAATATCACATAAGGTTCTCAAATCTAGTGAAAAGTATAAAAAAGAGAGTTTTATTAGCATACATTTACGATATTTACTAGCAATCTACTGTTTAAATCAAAGTCTATTAAAGCTCTAAAAACACAGTCGCTTTTATCAAACAAGAACAATAAATTTTGAAGAAGCACATCACTCTACACTGTCTAAATGCAAATAAGATTGATTTATCCAGCTCAAAAGTCAAAGATTGATTTATATGACCTCAGAAGCGGAAGTACCGAACTTAGACAAACGAGTGATATATTTATTTATTTGTACTTTATTGAATCTTACATATCAGTACAGGATCAAAGGCGAATTAATGCTAAAGATATTCTCTGCCAATCAAATTATTCTCGAATAAGCTCTTTTTCAAAGCTCTGGGAAGTGATTAATTATATTGTATAGTGAATAATTATTTCAGTGGTGCGCACAAAAGCGAATTTTACGAAGAATTTTAAAAGTAAATATTAGTTAAATGTGTAGTCAATGAAAGGAAACATAAAAATCTGATTGCTGTTTTCGCAATATACCAAGCACTAATTTATAATGTCACAATCACAATCAAAATGGGACTAATAATTTGTTGTAGTTGTTGTTGTTGAATAAAAATATTTATCTTTTAGAACTTTTAAGAAAAAATCTATTTGAGTTATGAATATACATACTGTACTATATTGCAGGAAGCGTGTCCCAGTATATACCTGATGGTCGAATATGAGCGAATCGCCGCGTGGCCGCCAGCCGTGTAGGTTCTCCTCGCCGCGCACGTACGTCCCGCTCGTGTCCAGCACTCGCCTTTGTCTACGCTGAACACCTATAAGTACAAAAAATCATATAACACATTCTTTAAAAGGCCAATGTTCTAATTCCATATCAATAGGCTCTTAAAGAGAAAAAGTAGCAGCGGATATTTGTAAATCGAAAATCCTCGCAAAAGAACACCCCTTCCTGCTAAGGATGATTTGCTAGGATATTGAAATAAAAAATATATGCATATTTTACTAGAGAAGGTGCTTAGGTAGCAGCACCCATTTACTTTGGAGGTTATAATTAGAGATGGGCCATATATTTGTTTCATATTCGGTATTTCGGTATATTCCGAATATTCATATTCGGCCGAATATTCTGCTAAATCATCGAACATTCGTTAAAGACCATACTCAAACTCAAAGTGTTTTGAAATGTACGAATTGTATAACGCCATGTCTTTCATAATTTTACTGTTGAAGGTATATTTTATTTACGGGTAAATCTACATGTACAGCGATATGTTTTTAAGGCACTGTAGATTTAAAGATTTAAAGAAACATTACCTACATTACATTAGTACATTTCACTTTCCTTTGGTCGTCATTTTCTCTAAAATAAGTCTAAATAGTAGAACTCCTGCCCACTCATTTTTATCATATAATTATCAATTTTCACTAAGATTAACACAACGAAATACTTTTTTCTCACAAAAATAGTCCAAACATAAACATGTGCCGGCAATTTGCTCAGTCCTAGATGATGCAATAACATGTCAAGTGTGACTGACGTGATGTGGGCAGGGTCCGGCGCTAATCCCGCACTTACAGTAAAAGTTTTGACATAAATTGGTCAGGTACCGAGGTGATCCTGCCAAATAATGTCAATTGTGAAAATTTTAGTTGATCAATAAAGATTAAAACTACTTTTTATCGCGTTTAATTTTACTTTTAATTAATTTATTTTTAATTCCTGACGTTTCGGGTGCTTTCCAGCACTCATATTATTAATTATCCATAGGCCATTTGGGCCCGAACCCTCTGGTTGCCCGTCGAGTTGGGACACTGATGGTCCCTAGCCCAGTCGACTTCTGTCGGGGCAACTGAGGGCCGTAACAATACCACTGCAAGACCTCAGGACATAGTCAGTTCATTTTGCATAGATCGGACCATAAACAATAATTAAAAAAGCTGAAGGTACTCCGGGTTTAACAATGACATCGGGACGTCAGTCACCTCAGTCCGTCAAGCACCCGAAACGTCGGGAATTAAAAATAAAATAAAAGCAAAATTAAACGCGATAAAATCCGTAAAGGTAGTTTTAATCAATGTGTAGTGTTCGCGTAAATATAAGAAATCATTATGATCAATAAAGATTTATTATTATTATGTGATGAATGCAGGATGGTGTGTAATTATCGGGCTCGAGCACGCGGTGCAGGCTGAGTTCGTAGCCGCGCGCGAGCCGAACAGCGCACGGCGCAGCGAGCGGCCCGCACGCGCTTCGCGCCCCACCACCACCGCCGACAGGTCCTTCGTGATGATGTGATGCTGGGTGGCGGGTACGTACCGGGTTCGAGAGCGCGGGGCAGGCCGAGCTCATAGACGCCGGTGAGGTGGTCTGCGCGCGCGGCGCGTGAGCCGAATAGCGCGCGGCGCAGCGAGCGGCCCCCGCCCCACCACCACCGCCGACAGGTCCTTCGTGATGATGTGATGCTGGGTGGCGGGTACGTACCGGGCTCGAGCGCGCGGTGCATGCTGAGCTCGTAGACGCCGGTGAGGTGGTTTGCGCGCGCGGCGCGCGAGCCGAACAGCGCACGGCGCAGCGAGCGGCCCGCACGCGCCTCGCGCCCAACACCACCGCCGACAGGTCCTTCGTGATGATGTGATGCTGGGTGGCGGGCACGTACCGGGCTCGAGCGCGCGGTGCAGGCTGAGTTCGTAGACGCCGGTGAGGTGGTCTGCGTGCGCGCCGCGCGAGCCGAACAGCGCACGGCGCAGCGAGCGGCCCGCACGCGCCTCGCGCCCTACCACCACCACCGACAGGTCCTTCGTGATGATGTGATGCTGGGTGGCGGGTACGTACCGGGCTCGAGCGCGCGGTGCAGGCTGAGTTCGTAGACGCCGGTGAGGTGGTCTGCGCGCGCGGCGCGTGAACCGAACAGCGCGCGACGCAGCGAGCGACCCGCGCGCGCTTCGCGCCCCACCACCACCGCCGACAGGTCCTTCGTGATGATAGCCGGCCGCCCGCAGTTCTCCACCTGACACGCGCATACATACTTCATTATACAATTTATACGTGCTAGAGCCATGCTGTTATTATGTTGTGTAGCAAGAATGCGCAGGCTAAACCGTGGGCGGCTCTCACAGAATACCAGCGTAAAATAGTAGTTTAATGCTGCTGTTTTTCGTATGGTGAGTGTAGAAAACCAGAGATCTTTTTTACCGAAAACAGAGCATTCCATCTTAATCCTCAGGAGTAACAACGCATATGCATTTTGAGTCGTACCCGAGTATAGATATAGATGTATATAAGCCACTATCTCTACTTACCACCACGTGTACTATATTCTCGTTTGTTAACCGCGTGTTCGTTAAAAATGGACTAATTCACCTCTCGTTCAGATGTGATGCATGTGTATCCGAGTATTAGTTAAGCTTTATAACTCGAAAAAACTGTGAACCGATAGAAAAAAAGTTTCTCATATGGCAGCCTAGTACAGTAGCCTAGTAACAAGAGCAGTGTTAGGCATATCTCCACTAGATGGATGAATAGAAACGACCTGATAACATACACAAATAGTCGCTGGATGCAGGTAGTTCAGAACCATGCTTTGAAATACTCCCTGGGGAAACCCTACGTTCAGTAGAGGACTAGTGGTTGTAGTGATGATGATGAATCGAGTGTATACAGAATCATTCGTATGTAAATTTAATTATTGAAGCCGCCAGCAGAGCACGAATTGATCATTTTCCCGATGTCTATTTAGGTGGAATCGTTGAGCGCTTGCAACAATATTGCATAACTAAATGCTTTTGTCGCTCTTTGCTCTACGAGCTATATACATCTATTATAAAACTTCTTGTGCTATTGGTCTCATAAAACAAAGATACTTCAAGCAGCAGCAAGTATTCGATATCTTAACATTTTTCCGCATTCGCATTGAGGTCGCTTACGATGGACAACGGTTTAAGAGAAACCTCACTGTTACCGTCATATTTATTTTATTCCCCTATTGGTAATGAATCCGCATTTTGATGTCAATCTTATTGACAAATCGGAGTTCCACTAGACCCCACTTCATTCGCGACCAGCACGCAGTTCGGGCCCTGCCTGCACGTCAGTCAGTAGCAGATAAACAATTAGTTCGGGTACACGCTGCCCACACGATACATTGTCAATTATCATAAACTTGAAATCACCGCACCGTGACTGTTTTTTTTTTATAGAATAGGCTGACAAACGAGCACACAGTCCACCTGATGGTAAGTGGTTGCTGCGGCCCATAGACATCTACATCTATCTTCCATTACAAATCAAAATGCAGATGCGTTGTCACCCGTGAGGACTGAGATGGAATGCCTCATTTTCAGTAAAAAGGGTCTCCGGTTCTCTACACTCACCATACGAAATACAGCAGCATTAAGCTGTGTTAAATTAGTAATAATATGTGTAAGTATGAGAAGTACGAGACTCGTCGTTGGACGTAGCAGGTGGGGGTGCGTACTTACGACAATGATTTGTAACACCATATTGTGTTGGTCGCAAAAACAGTCCGCACCTTCTTTTGGTACTCTTCGCCAAACCATTTATCTGGGCCTTCGAATCGCATCACCACCCACAATATTCATAGCAGGGGCAGCGTGGAGCCATCAAAAATACGCGTGTCGCACTAGTTATCACGGCATTGTAACGCAACACAGCAATGGTAGATTTGGTGTTTAAAGCACTTAAAGCGCTTTTTTTGTTTAGTTGCTGCACCGACATCGCACAGTATCACTGTCGTACCAAGGATTTTAACAGAATAGCTAAGCGGAGTTGAATTGATGTTGAGTTTCCACAACCGGTAACGCTAATAGAAAACCATAAATATGAATTAAATCAACGAAAAGTTATAGATTTTTAACATTAAGGTCAGAGATCTTAAAATTAATATCCTTTTATTTTAATTAAATATCGCGCAACAGTACTATGTAATAGATTATGTTGGAAGCCCATCGTATGCATCATAAAACTTGTAGCAGGCCGCAATAACGATGATGGTGAACGAAACTAGCAACCTACCTCCAGATATGCGCTAAGGGTTATATAGACAACCTCGCCATTGGCGCTGACCCTGTTGAGTAAGGGAGAACCGTGCAAGCTGCTGTCCCATGCCGCCTCGAACCTGGACAACAATAATTCTGTTGTTATTTATCACATTATCATAACAACTTTTATCAGACTCGAAATAGTATGTTGATATTATCGATTAAAACTACTTTTACGGATTTTATCGCGTTTTATTTATATTAATTTTAATACCCGACGTTTCGGGTGCTTTCCAGCACCCATGGTCCCGGAGTACCTTCAGCTTTTTAATTATTGTTTTTGGTCCGATCTACGCAGAATGAACTAACTGTATTTTGAAGTCTTGCAGTGGTATGCTTGGGTTTAGTTTTAATTTTATTAATTATAGGATCCCAAGCAGGTGGTAGTACCCAGCCTCCTTCTCTATTGAAATTAGGATGTTTTTTTTTAATTTCAATAGCCTCACGTATTATCCTTGGTAGGAATCGATGTTCTTTCGCGAGGATTGGTGGTCTATCAAATCTGATGTAATGATTGGGGCCATCTAGAATATGATCGCAAACGCTATAAATAAAACGCGATAAAATCCGTAAAAGTAGTTTTAATCAATGTATAGTGTTCGCGTAAATATAAGAAATCATTATGTTGATATTATTTCGAGTCTGATAAAATGAGTAAAATGTGTATTGAAATCTGCGTTTAAATATTGAGAGAAAATATTCATGTATTAAATAATTTATATCATTCTATATCTGAACCTAAATTCTCGTCACAATTTTTTCCTTCGTATATTTTATTACATATTTAAAAACGCTCGAACGAGGTAGCAGTAGAATGAACATGAAACGGGTGATTTATCAATGGTCGTGCAGCATACAACCAATTTTATAATTTATTTTATAAATCCGTTGTGAAAACACATTTGATAACTTCGAAAAAAAATTTTTTTACTCCAAAATATTCAAATGTATCGTGTTAGTTTAATTTTTGTTACTTATGAACATAATCAACTTTTATAAGAAAGGATGCGAAATTACCTGAAGACAGCACGGTCGTCCAGTGTGGGACGTTCTCCGGGGAAAAGTCCAAGAGACAGAGCGCCGTCTTCATCGCCGTCTGTTGTGTCTTCGTTAGCTTCGGGCGAGTTGCGGATACGTCCTGCGAAAAATTACAATAATGATTAATCTCCGCTTTCACTTACAAGCATTTATAACATCACCTCGTTAATAATGATCGGTACGTTTTTTTGTATTTTCTACGTACAATTATACAAGATGCCTAAATATTCAAGCATTCACTCGATTAAATCGACCAGGACAGTATCAAGAAAATGTGATCTACGGCTTAAATAAAAGAAGGCTATATATTCGTGATTTGTTCGACATCTTTCATGGTTCTATGGCCTCAGCAAGGGCTAACATTAGATTAGCCATTAATTAATTAATATTTATTATTTTAGAGTTTTCTCCTTTCTTTAGTTGTATTTGTTATTCTGTCCACTTGTTGCATGCCGTGTTCACTGTTATTAGAATGAACGTTTGTTTGTTACTTTTTTTCAAATTACCTGAACCATGTACACGTTACATTCCATTTGTGAACCAAATAAAAAAAAAAAAGCTACAACGCCATCTTTTCACAATATCTTTCTGGTATTTTGCAAAACTGTCTCATAATTTTTTTTGGGACAAAACGAGGTGATAAAATATTTTATGCCGCCTACGCATGAAGAATTCAATAATTTCACACTTTGGACATTATAACAGCATAAAGAATAAACAGTATACTGAGAGATTACACTTACAGAATATATGGAACACTGTTACAACCTATCAAAAGTCCATTGCTGAACGTGGCTACGTTTGGAAAGTTTTCCTGGATAACTGCATGACTACTGCCGATAAACAGTTCACCTGATGGTAAGTTGATGCCGTGGCCCATAGACATCTACGCTTAAGAATCAAAATGCAGACGCGTTGTTACCCCTGAGGACTAAGATGGAATGCCTCGTTTCCAGTACGAAATCGAAACATATACGAAACACAGAAGTATGAAGCTGCTATTTTACTCTGGTATTCTGTGAGAGCGTAGCCCTTCCCCATTCCGACCCTCCGGAATGGGGTCCGACCCATTCGTGCTGCAACCATAATATAGCTGCAGTGTGGCTCTACCACGTTTGTTACGTGTTCATAGTTCATATTTTTATCCAGCTCATAACAGATAGGTGCTGCCGCCCATCTCTTGAATAAGTTTTCCTCCGTTATTGTTATGATGGCCCCACGGGATGATATGGGGTACTGGATATTTTTACACAGTACACAGTTAAACAGGTACGTACCGACAACGAGTTCGCGTACGTCGCTCCACTGCAGGTCTGCGGAGGGCTCGTGCAGGATGGTGATGCGGATGCGACGCTGGATGCCCTGATGCAGCACGAACAGCCCGCGGCACGGAAGCTCGTCGCTGTGCTCCACCACCTGCTGGGGGCCCTTGTCTTTAATACGCACATAATTAAACACGCATGGGGCGTAGAAACATCACTTCCTAGGTCACACTAACCAACTAGCTTACAAACAAAGTAATTAAGACACTCATCACGATAACTCGAACATTCCCCTTATCGCATTTGTATGTAGGGAAATCATTGCGAATGTTTAAGCATTTCTGGCAAAGCCAAAAACTTTATCACAATGAACTCCGCTTTACATTTCACATCTCTACATTGCATTCGGCTAACAGATGTCATGTCATGTCTACGTAGGTTAGGTGCGTTTGGTGTGTGTTCAATATGGTTTGCAGTAACGATAAAATTGTAGAACTATATACAGAGTGGAGTCGATGTTACCGCAAATAATTATTTGACGCCATAAAATACAAAACAATCATGTCGTCCAGCCATTATGAGTGGCCGAGAGCGATGCGTCACAGTTCTCCTCAACGTAACGAATTCTTTGATTTTTAGCTGTCAACTTTTATATATGAAAGTGCAACGCCAAATTGTATCTCCGAATTTTGTTATCATCAATTTTCTGAATTCCCTCCTACTATAAAAGCAAATTTAAAGACATATTCACGTTAAAAGCAAACAAAGTTAACGACTGTGTGCTGTGTTTGGAACGTTAGTGTGAGTGTAAGTATGAGTGCGTACGTGGCGCGGTGCAAGTGAAGTACTCACGGTGGGCACGTAGTCGCCATTGGGCACGAGCTCGCAGATCTCGAACCAGACGAGCAGGTCGTGCTTCGAGTGCAGGTGCGAGGAGCAGCAGGGCGGCGCCACGCTGGCCGCGCCCTACTTGGGGCTGCGCACGGGCGCCGAGATCGGGATGGACGGCGGCAGCATGTGGTGTGTGGTGCAAATGGAGTACTCACGGCGGGCACGTAGTCACCACTGGGCGCCAGCTCGCAGATCTCGAACCAGACGAGCAGGCCGTGCTTGGAGTGCAGGTGCGAAGAGCAGCAGGGCGGTGCCACGCTGGGCGCGCCCCACTTGGGGCTGCGCACGGGCGCCGAGATTGGGATGGACGGCGGCAGCATGTGCGTACGTGGTGCGGTGCAAGTGGAGTACTCACGGCGGGCACGTAGTCGCCACTGGGCACGAGCTCGCAGATCTCGAACCAGACGAGCAGGTCGTGCTTCGAGTGCAGGTGCGAGGAGCAGCAGGGCGGCGCCACGCTGGGCGCGCCCCACTTGGGGCTGCGCACGGGCGCCGAGATTGGGATAGACGGCGGCAGCATGTGGTGTGTGGTGCAAATGGAGTACTCACGGCGGGCACGTAGTCGCCACTGGGCGCCAGCTCGCAGATCTCGAACCAGACGAGCAGGTCGTGCTTGGAGTGCAGGTGCGAGGAGCAGCAGGGTGGCGCCACGCTGGGCGCGCCCCACTTGGGGCTACGCACAGGCGCCGAGATCGGGATGGACGGCGGCAGCATGCGCCGCGGCGGCGTGCGCCCCGCCACCGGACCATCCTGCTTTGCGTCCTGACACAAAAACACATAATTTATCCATTAATGTATGGCGTATCTCTATTGTACAAAATATATTAATTTAATCGCAAAGACTTCTATATTATTATATAGTACTAGTAAGCCTTGTTGAACACCAGAATTCACAGGCTTGGAGTCGGAGCATGCACTATCGACTCCGACCTTAATACTCCGATCTGTAAGAAAACTGGTGACCCAATTGCGTAATTTCTGAGCTACACAAGCTGAGCTACCTCAACGGAAACCGTAGTGACGGTCACCTATCAGCTGATACTCTTGATCTGAAAGTAACTCATGATCTGGCATTTAATGATGGATTCCATTATTTTAAAAACCAAGGTGATGACGATAAGCCTGTAATTGGACGGGTCCAATCACCTTTTTTAGGGACCGCGTGCACTAAGGCTGTCTTCTATGAACTTGGAACGACACCTAGAATAAGAGAACCGGAAAAGACGCGTAAGAAGCGGTGCAAAATCTGGAGCACACGTCTTCAGCACAATTGGGGGGATTCCATCAGGCCCATTCCACTTGACTCCGGCCCTGGTGGCGCCGTTGAAGCCGTTGAAAGGGGACGCCCTTGAGGGAGATTCTCGATCCGGATCTTCTGGGAAGGGTGATCGGCACGTTCTTCCCAGAGCACGTTCGGTTAAGTCTCTCAGGTCACCTGCCGTCTTGATGGGAATGGTAAAATGTGGTGTGGTTGACCATCGAGGAGGTGGACCGAGCCGTTAGCTGCTTAAAAGTCCAAAACACAGCACCGGAGACCGACGGAATCCCGGACCACGTCCTAGTGCTGAGTTTGGCTGCCCTAGGGGACGGACTCAGGCAGCAGTTTACCAGCTATCTGCGGTGTGCCACGTCCCCCACAGCCTGAAAAGAGGCAAGATTGGTCCTTTTGAAGAAGGAGGGCTGACTCTCCCTCTGCGTATAGCCCCATACACCTGTTGGTCGAGACTGGCAAATTGTTCGACAGGATAGTTGCCTTGATTTTGCCGATTGCCAGTTTGGATTCCGACGGGAGCGTTTCAATGTAGACGCGATTACGCGCGTTCGCTCTCTGTCGAAACAAACAGTATCCCCGGGGAGCGTGGTGTTGGCGATTAATCTGGATATCATCAACGCCTTTAATTCTCTACCCTGGGACGCAATCAGGAGGGTACTGGCACATCATCAGGCACCCCCTAACTGCAAGGTATAAATGGGGACTACTTGCGCGACAGGTACATCCTGTACATGAAGCAAGATGGTAGGAAGATCAAACGTGGGGTTCGACAGGGCTCGGTGCTGGGTCCACTACTATGGATCCTCGCGTACCAGGAATTCTGCGAGTTGACCTTCCAGCTGGCGTAAATATCGTGTGTCACGCCGGCGACTCATTGGTGATCGCCAACGGAATAACTTTCGAGAGGACCAATGAGCTCGCTTAGCATGGGGCGGAAGTCGTTGTCGCCAAAATCCATGAGATGGGTTTAGAAATAGCGCCTTACAAGACCGAGGCCCTATGGTTTCATAAACTACCACGAGGCAGGGAGCCACCCGACTCGTGCGTCGGCGGGGGTGGGTCTGGAGTCAGTGAGGGGAGGTACATGAAGTACCTAGGCCTCCACCTGGAAAGTCGTTCGGACTTCAAAAAACTTTTCGAGCGCCTAGTTCCCTCGGATCGAAAGCGTGGTGGGTGCTATGCATAGACTACTTCCCAATCTAGGGGGACCAACGGAGAAACGTACGTCGCCACTATGCGGGAGGTATACGATCCGTAGCTCTGTAAGGAGCGCCTGTATGGGCAAAAAGACTGGCCATTCGAGCCTGTAGAACTAAAATCTACAATGTTCAGCGGAGTATGGCCATACGGATCGTACGAGGATACCGCACTATATCCTTTAGACGGCGACAATCCTGGCTCGCTTTCCACCACTAGATACACTGGCGGAGATAGACGCGAGGTTCTACATGCGGATGCGTGCCCTCCGCAATAGCTGGTAATGAGCCAGAAGGCAGAAGGCGCTCGAATCAATTAAACTGGCAGGAACGACAAAATGCTCTGACGACATGGTGCACTCGACTCGAGAGCGCTATGAACGCAAACGTGTCATTGGGCAATTGGATGCAACGACGTGTAGGAAGACTCGCCTACAGACTTACAGATAATTACCGGGCACGAGTGCTCCGGTGATTATCTGTAACTCTGTAGGCGAAACGACGGCGAACTGCTTCCACTGCGGAGCTGCGGACCAGGACTCCGCTTCCCACACGCTCGCAATATGCCTAGCGTGGGAACGGGAGGAAACTATTCTGATAAACCGCATCGGACAGAACCTTTCCCTGCCAGCAGTCGTGTCGGCAATGCTGAGCAGGGATTCGGCTTGAGAGGTGTATCCACATTCTGTGAATCCGTTATGATTCAGAAGCTCAGAGACGACGTCGCCAAGGCGTTCATCGCAGCCCTCCTCTTGAAAACGGTGTTCCCCTACCAGAAACGGAGCTTCCGTTACGTGTACGTTTCAGACGTTCGGGGTGGAGGCCTCGAACCCCTAGTTATGTAACCCCCGAGGAGGACGATGACTCGGAAGTAGTCTCGAGACACGGTGGTAGCACTTCAAGTGTGCTGAGGGCAACAAGTACTGCCCCCGGGACGCGCTATTAGTGTAGCAAAGCGATGGAGGGGCCCCGGTTGCGTTTCGAACGGAGATACCGGAACCCCTCGTATACGCTGATGGTGACCACCGTGGGGTTTTAGCCGGTATGAGTCCGGCATAACCTTGTCGTTACCCCCCGCAACGAATGGTACCCATGAGGTTTTCCCCAGGAATAAAAGGCTCACTCCACTTATGGATGTCCAGAGTCAGTAGCGCTCTACGCGCTTAGCACTGTGTTAACCAAACATCCTGCCTTGAGTATTCCCACTGCGGAATGGTCGGCAGTATATACCCCTGTCGTCGAGAGTCGAGTTGGGCGCAAAAAAAATCTAAAAGATCGGATTTCTCCCTAGCGGCGTGGACCAAGGGAGTCATTCTCCCTGCGCAGACATGATAATGATGGATTTCTCAAATACAGAAATTCTCTTGGACAGCCTTGGCGAGAGAACAGAATGCAAGAGTTCCCGAAAGAAGGCAAACTAGTTTCTCGCCAATACTCTCAACGTGCTTCGACTTTGCCCTAGCGATAACTCCTTAAAAGGACCTGGAGGCAGAGTTTTACTTCATTTTGAGTGCACTAGTATTTGAACCTTAGTGCATTGTTTGCAGGAAAGTTTCCATCCCCTGACGCACCACATTGGCGACTGACTCGGCAACGGTATTAGGATAATCCAGCTAGAAGCAAATCCTCCCCATAGGTAGGATGCATAAAAAGTCAGCATCCTATCCCAATCTGCTGACCTATAGTGCCACACACGGCGAAAGCCTACAGATCAGGTAGCGATCCGAAGAGCCAAGAGGGGCATAGACGGAGACCTGATATCTGAACGGATGAGAGGACAGCGAAAGGATCATCCACATCTGGAATCCGCGTGGGCGGAATGACCAGTTGTGTCAGATTATATGCCAAGGCAGTCGTTAACGGATCTATCCGTGGTCGATTGGCCGGTCGTGGGTCGGCAGAGGCGTTGATCCGAAGCAGAAAGGAGTATCCCAGGTTATAAATATGGGTAAGATAAATAATATGTATAGTAGTATAATAGTATAGATGTATAAAAATGTCAGATAGATATGTAATAGTATAGATGTATAGTCAAGGTGAGGTGCCGTAATGATTTTGCTCCGTTTGCTTCATTTAGAATGTTTTCAGAGCGGAATTGTAACCCCCACCCTCCCCCAGAATACGCGGGGCAGCCTGAGAATTCACGCTCAGGAGGGAGATTATTTAGGCGTAGATTCCCGGTGAGGGACTCTCCAGGATTATCGATGCTGATACCCTCCTGGGGTATATTTTTACTTAACACCGCTTTCATGGTATTTCCACTGAACAATATTATGAATTATAATATAGTTCATTTTAAAATACCTAGTTATAATTTACAAAATGCCAGCTGCCAGCTGCCAGAGGGCTGTCGATGTAGTGCTAGCCTTGCTGGCTTAGCGGTGTTTACCCGTTAGTAATTGTGCAATAAGAATAAAACTATAATATACTTTTTGATTTTGTGTATGTTAAATTATAATTGTAAGAAGACCTTTTTTAAATAAATTAAATAAATAAATAGAATAAGGGTGACAAACTGACAAACAAGCACACAGGCTGCCTTATGGTAGATGGATCTGTGGCACACATACATCTACATATATCCTAGATTAAGACCCTTGAGGACTTAAATGGAATGCCTCCCTTCTAGTAAAAATGGACCTCGGTTCGTCACACTCTCCATACGAAATACAGTAACATCAGGCTACTGTATCACGCTGAGCTGCTACGTGACGCTGTAGTCCTTGTAGTCCTTCCCCAGTCGAGCAGACTCTCTCGTGCTACAATTATAATAAAGCTGAAAATGAGGACGGCTGTTTCCAGTAGTGGGAAGTACATGGGATGTAATAACTGTACTCTTACTTGATGTTATGAATTAAAATTAATTACCTTGTGAAGTGGATGCTGCTGATAATGGCCGAAAACTTCAAAAACGATCGGTTGTGTCTTTATGTACTCTACGAACGACTTGGTTACAGGTACAGTGATCTATAAAAAAAATTAAATTAATATATTATATCCATTAATAAGCACAGTAAATGATTTAAAAAAAAAACAATAATATAATTGTTTTAAATTGTGCCTACGTTTTGTACGTGATAAAATCCAAGGGGCGTATTCTTGCCGGTGTTCTTGACAGGTTCAGTAGAGAAGGCATCTTCGTTACGATGTAAGAAGCTGTAAGAGTGTAAAGAAAAAAATGCTATAAATTTGTACACAACGCCTATGCATTTTGCCATAATCGATGAAAAAAGATGCGAATAACGTTTGATAAATAATAAATAATGATATTGTAAAATATTTATGATTGGTTTTAATTTTGTTTTGCCAAAAAGTTGCAATGCTAACATTATCTAAGTTAAGGTAACAAGTTCTGGGGTGACGCCAAGTCTCATTTTCTTTAGGTTTATAAAATATAACTTAACTAGACCAGGAATAATTATTTGTAGGCCACACAAATATTTGTTCCGTGCGAAATTTAAACGCGGCCCTTAGCGCAGTTACTCATTGCTAAGCCATCGCGCCACAGAGGCGTCACCCGTTAACTCCAGGACCTGACAAATGATTCCTTGAATAATACAAGGGTCCAGCGAGCACGTGCGCGTGCTTGCTCACTTGAACTGGCAGAAGACGTCCGCGTAGTCGGTGGAGACGCTGTGCGCCTGCAGCACGGTGACGCGGAAGGTGAAGTCGCGGCCGAGCGCCAGGTGGTCGGGTAGCTCCTCGTCCTTCAGCTCGGACGCCAGCGAGCTGTCGCCGCGCCCGCTGTCCGCGTCGCACTCGCCCACGCCCAGCTCTGCCGTATAAAATATTCATATAATAAATAAACTATTAAATATTATTATAAAAATCTTACGCTCACCAGATAAACCTAGCCTATACATATGAGTGGTGAGGTGACAGAGATGAACCTTTTTATCAGACCGACGGACATAAAGTCATCATTGAAAAGTTTCGTTTTAATTATATTACTATAATGAAATAATAAAATAAAAGTAAGTAAGAATATAAAATAACAGTTATTAGACTTCAACATTTCAGTACAACGTCTCAGTGATGTGTTTTTTTTTTTAGGATAGCGTGACAAACGAGCACACAGTCCACCTGATGGTTAGTGGTTGTTGCGGCCCATAGACATCTTATCTCGATTACAAATCGGATGCCTCGTTTCCAGGGTCTCCGATTCTCTGCAATCACCATACGAAACAGCAGCATTAAACTACTTTTTGACGCTGATATTCTGTGAGAGCTCGAGAGACTCTAATTTATAACAATCGGCACATTTTAGACCGCTGGACAAATTTAACACGGTTAAGTCACACTTATATTTTATTTGTGTCTGGGTGTAATTTATCTATAATATTTATGTATTTAAAAATATATAAGTATGTTTATCAGTTGTCTAGTACCCATAACACAAGCTCTGCTTAGCTTGGGACTAGATGGCGTTGTGTGATAGTTGTGGAATATTATTATTATTTTAATTAAGACAATGCTTGACCACAATAACACTTGATGGTAAATTGTGATGAGCTCAAGATGGTAAATCGTCTTAGCGAAACAAGTCTATTAACTCTTGCCTTGAAGACGCCTTAATTGTATTCGGACGGAAAGACAGACGCAGGCAAATTATTCCACTCCTTAGCTATACTTTGCTCAGATTCATTTGCATCCTACTCATTCCTTAGGGGGAGGCCTATCTTCAGTAGTGGACTTTTGATAGGCTGTAATGATGATGATGACAATGATTCTTTGAATTTGTTTTGTGTATATCGCGTATAATAAACGCCGTCATCCTCACCACATTACCGACAAACCTACAAATATTTACTACGTAAATTTTCGACGTTTTATATTCTGGTATCAGAGAGCGCTTAGTATCAAAAAAAATTACCGAGGAATCGTGACCTAGGCCCCAATATTACTCAAAAACTAAAACAATTATGTCCTCCAAGCCGAATTTTAGTGGCCTGTCTCAACAGAGGCTAGCCATCATCATAAGTAATACAGTTAGAAGCGAAGAATTAAAATTAAGTAAATTAAAGTAGTCACAGCCTCTACACGCCCAACTGCTTAGCACAGGCCTCCCCTCATCTCTGAAAGGGTTACGGAGCAGTTAGTCCACAACGATGTTCCAGCGTGTCTTAAAAATTGCAATTACCAATCTCATTAGTGCCGGTGAGAACCCGCGTACTGTGAAAATTTATAACAGCTTAACCACTGCATTAACCAACGCTTTGGTAATTAGTTTAAAATACCTTCTATCTTGATGTTAGAATCGGCAACATCAGCAATGCGATCTTCCAGATTTAGTGCGTTGTTTTTCTCAACTGTGGAGAGAGTCTTGAGTCGAGACCTTGCAGGTGCTGCGTCGTCATCGAATGATATCTTAGCGGACTGTTTAACACCAGCCGCTAATTCAGCGTTGTCTAATGAAAAAAATTGATACATTATAAAGCAAAAATAAGAATCGTTAAGAGTGTGGATTAACTAACTCAAAAAGTCAACGACTGTTGTGAATCACACACAAGACCTTTTAATAAATAATCTTACTTAAAAAGTGGTACACGGAAATAGTAGTAAAAATAGCAGTATTAATATTCTTTAAAAATTTTTTTTTAAGCTTTTGGGGGGTTTTTAGAAAAGGAGAAGAAAGAAGCCGGTACCACGAATCTAACTATCGCTAAAACTTGTCGCTTATTAAGGCTCTGTGATCTTTTGTCACTTGTATTCTAAAATAATTTTTTTTCTAGCATTAGGTCAAACAAAATATACTCGGGAACTGAGAATGTCCTGAGAATGAACTACAGTCGCAGCATCTTTCAAAATAATCGAAATCTATCAACTGTGCAGGAGATATTATAGTGTTATAGTTCTTACAATTCACGAGCGCGTGAGCTTCACTTGTATTAAAAATGTAGCTGTGTATAAGTCAATGTGCACGTGAGCGATGCGTGTAATAACGCCAACGTTCGCTCGCAACTGAACTGCCCGTTAGACACTCACACCGCCACAACGTGCACGTACACTTCTAACCACAAGTTAAGTTCACGCGCGCACGTGTATTTGTATCAACTTACTATAAAAATATACACGTTGATACAGTCAATAGCACTACTGACTCGGCCAACATACTCATACTCAATGTGTATAGGATAAGACCAGAGGATGTAGTGTCAGTGGTACAGGGACAATCACACCACAACTAGACCACTTTTACTAGGTGATAACACTATTTCTTAGCCGCCCGTCTAGACGGGTAAGAACTAACAACCCATTGCTGCCATAAGGAGCAGTGCGTGTGCTGCTGTGTTTCGGTCTGGGGCATATAGGAAGTTACTTTTAAAACAGACTGCGAGCCATTCCATCTTTAGTTCTCAAAGGTGACAACACATCTGTAGCTTTCTTTGTTTAAAGTTAGTTGCAGGTGTACATGATGTGCAATAATTATTTACTATCACGTGGACTGTAAGTTCGTTGATTAGTTTAAATTTAATTTAAAAAAAAAACACAAGATACTAGTGTATTAAAATACACTAATTTCTTCTTTTTTTTATATACTAGTTTCTAGTTTCTTGTTTTTTGCGTTTTATAAGTTTAGTTAGAACCTCTATCTAAACTTATAAAATTTAAAACCTAACACCAGCTTGGTAGCCAGACACTCAGACGATCAGGCCACGCTGTCGCCAATAATTATAGCGGTATTAACTCACTTTTTTCGGCGTCGATTACTGCCTGTACAGCCACACGTAGGTAGCCCTTCACGTCTCCTTTCTCGTTCACTATTGCAACTTTGTGAATGAGCGGAACCGGGTACAGGAGGTTCGACAGGTAAACGAAGCTCCTACGAAACAAAGTATTTAATTATTTGCTTTGTGTTAAAATTTGTTACAATGGTAAAAAGTAACATGATCAAGAATCTAATGTCAATTCCAATTTGAACAATACAATTGACATGGTGTCGATAGTTAACTTAACATGACCAGTTTGTTAGGTGTTGTAAATGAAAATAGGTAATTCATTTAATGAAAAAAAAAAAACTCACTTTTGAACAAACAATAACAGCAAATATTTTCTTTTTCTGGCAACAACTGTGAAATACACACATGGAAATCCGCATACCAAATTACACAACTGTTTAGCGAAAAAATATTTTTCAATTATGCCTGGGACAGTGCTTGTTTAAATACAAACAATATCGATTGACTTTCCTCAAAACAGACACCCTAAAAATCCTAAAAGGTCTAATTAATATAGGTAAAACGCTAACCGTCCAACCATACGGAACCACGGGAAACGATCGTAGAAGGGATCACCGCCGGTGACCGACTCGATGTTGTGGTCAGGGGACGTGGGCGACAGCTCGGCCTCGTTGTGATACATTTCGCGCATCAGCTCCAGCCTTTGTCTGGAAAAATTAAATCGCGTCAGTTGATAGATAATGTACTGTAATTCGGAGTAAACGTTCGACGTAAGGTAACACTCAGCACAAGCAACTTAAACAAAAAGTAAACATCGACCAAACCAAACACAAGCCAAGAAAACTACACAACTCCATTTTCAAATAATCTTCTAAAACTATTTAGACAAGTAATACAAGCAAAACATACAATTCGAAATACACTACAATGTACAGAAGTTATAGATCTATATTATTAGGATACATCTTTGTACTATAATAGAATATAATATGCGTATGTCATGCTCTGTATTTTATACAATATATCTAAATATTTTATAAAAACGAAAAAAGCGACCTGTTTATAGCTAAAGTGAGCTTATATTATTTGCATGTAATTCAAGGAAAATGCACAAAAACATGAAACAACTGACAAGATAACATTCTCTTCTCCCAGATCACAGTTTTATTCACTTTTAGGCACATACACGGCACAACGTGATTTATTAAATTAAAAATAAATTACAATGTCTACTTACAATACACAGTAAAAGTAATTTATCATTAATTATGATTTTTTTTATATTAATCAATAAATATTGATAGCTCATTTGCGTTCAACTTTTAAATTAAGAAAAAAGTACTATTCGCGCGGTTAAAGAATGGGATTGAAAAAAGGTTTCGCCTCTGTTCACCTCTCGCTCACACACTATCGCTCACGCACCGGTAAAGACTGCAAAAAATACGTTATGATATCCGTTTTTCTGTACGTTCTATAACTTCAGTGCAACTTGTCATTGGAATCAAAAATAACAAATTCCAATAATTTACAAAAAAAATCAGTCCGGATTTGCTAATTTGTAAACTGCGATGCGTTCTGAGAGTTTTCTTCATAATTATTGTTGATTTTGATTGGTAATATTTTTGCATAAAATATTTACATGCCATTGAGGTATGAGTAACCATTTTCAAAATTCTCGTCTGTCTGAGCAAATCTTTGGAATGGCTGTACCGATTGTAATAAAACTTCACGAACAAATAGAGAGAGAGAGAGTGATCTCGACTACATTTGATCCGAAAAATTTAGAGATTTTATTAAAATATAAATATTGATAAGATAAGTGAGCTTTAATGATTATTTTAAGTCTTAATAACGCCACATTAATAAATCCCACCCAAGAGAAGCCAGGGCGCGTCGTTAGTTATAAATGTTATTTAAAAATTAATATACCTAGTTAGCTATACAATTAGTTTCCATCTATTTTCCCATTAATTGAAAATTTTCAGTTAATAGAATAATATAACGTTATAACGATATACCGTAATTAGCGAGTTTTCATTATTGGTACTGTGCATGTTGACGGTACGGGCCCGATCAGTCGCCATTTCTAATCCCATTCTTTATCCGTACGTACTATGGAAATTAATAAATCCGAAATAAAAATTTACAGTAGGTATTATAATTTAAGCGGAAAATCTTCCGAAATGTTTTATTTAATCGGTTTCATCGAGACAACTTAATTATTTTGAAATACTCGTGAAATAAGCTTACAATGTACGACAATGTAATAAATATTATGTAAATGAAATGAAGTTAAAATAAACACGACGTATAGCGACACGAAATTTATGCAATTATCTTTTTTTTTTGGATTTACAAAATAACAAATATTCATATTCAATGAAGTCAAAAAGCTATAACATAAGCGTGATCAAAATTGCGAATGTAGCAAAATTGTGTATTTATTTCGATACATCACAAAAAATATTCTGTACTTCTTGAAACAAAACAAACTTGTAAAATTATATTGGAAATTAAAATAGCATAATTAAGTACATACTGTTTGTTTGTTGGGAATGTATTATATTTTATTATATATCCTCAACAGTGCCTTCTGATACGCATGTATAGTGCATTTTCGAACTTATAAGTCCTACTTAGGGCTGCCAACCCTACTACGAAAATATGATAAAATTTAATAAGTATTATAGTAAATAAACCAAATAACTTCTATATCTATATAATAAATATTTTAATAGAAAGGGAATTCACATTTCGCCATTTTAGCAATGAAAAATAATGAAGTCTTTTGATATTTAAATCATTTTCATTCATCAATACAGCTTATCAAAAGTCCACAGCTGAACATACATAGGCTGCCTCCTGTATGCCATAGTTACGATGTATGGCAGGAGGGTTGGCAACCGCAGATTTATTTTAAGTTGTTATCCGAAATATACGCTTATTTTATAGAATAAGGGTGACACACGTGCATACAGTCCACCCGTTGGTAAGTGGATGCTGTGGCACGCAGACATGTACATCTATCCTCGATTAAAGATCAAAACGCAGATACATTGTCGCCCCTAGGGAATAAGATGGAATGCATCATTTCTAGTAAAGAGGTTTTGGCTAGGCTCACCATACGAAACACAACAGTATTAAGCTGCTATTATGTGAGAGCATGGTACTTATCCGGTCAAGCTGACCCATTCGTGCTACAACCATAATAGAGCTGCAGTATGGCTTAACCACGTGTAAATACTAAAACTCGTCTTTTGTTTCATTTGCTTCTGTAGCCTCTTACTATACCCACGTCATGATATGGGGCAGTGGATTCCCTGTGCTGCTACAGACTGTGTCTTCGAAAAGCTTATATTCAGTAGTGGTATAAAAAGGCAATACTAAAAAAGAATAAAGAGTAGCAAAAACCTGGTACAGATTCATAAAATTAATATTGAAATTTGACATGTATTATTATATTTTAGTACTTTGCACTGAAATCCTGTATTTGGCAGGACAAAGTTGGCAACCCTAGCCCTTTGGTGATTGGTATGTCGTGGCTCGCGTGCACGTGATATTATCGTGCAAGGCAGGCTGGTCGGTTCCTCCCGCGGGCACAAACCTCGAGGGCAGCAGGTTGGCTAGAGACAAGCGCGTCTGCTGCGCGCAGGCGGATATGCACTGCAGTATGTCGGGCGACGGCGGCGGGCCCGACGCCGGGGGCAGCGGCTCCGGCGAGGGGAGCGCGGGGATCGACGGAGACACGTCATCTTCCTCGTCGTCCCCGCACGCGCTCTCGTTCATGTTGTATATCTGACGCATGAGCTCCAGGCGGTGGCTACGGACAATACACCGCCATGTAGCCCTACTGCCCTACACCACTTTTTAACCGACTTTTTTTCACCTTCTTAACCGACTTCAAAAAAGGTGTTATATATATAATGTGACTTATTTTTTAACTGTGTAGTACACAAAAGACCTATAAAGTTCGTTGATTTATTATGTTGAATTTATAGTACTAAAACATACTTTAACAGTAATCCTATTTAGAAATGAATCGGATTTCATAATAATTGAAGTCGGTTTATGTTTTTTTAAATAACAAATTATTTCCACTTATTCAATGTAAATTGACATACGAAGTCTTTTATCCATATTATGTTTAATCTCTTATTTTTAATGACAACACACTTCTTAAATCCGCAATGGTTGTGACAGTTACACACATTCGTAACCATTGTACATACATTTATTTAACCTCTAGATAAAGGTTTCCGGTCAAAAAACAAAGCAATAAACAAGTCTATGAACCTAAGCTGAAATAAATAATTATCATTGTAAATAATAATTGAACGCAAATTATGAACAACTTTAATGGATGATAGAAATTACTGGATAGCGCAACAATTATTTCACCTTCCAAAAAAACAAATCTTTGAAGGAGAAATTTATCGTTATTATTTATTTAATTTTTTTGTGAAATATATAACTAATTATGTGAGAAAACAGTAATTATATATAACAGTAGAGGTGCAAAGAAAAACTAGTTAAAAATATAACACTCGTATTCTAGGCTTCTAATTTTAAATAATATCAAAATATATTAGCATGAAAGAAAAATAAATGCAAGCAGCAAATAAAAAAGCTTATTATATTAAATTATGTAAACTGCTACCATATTTTAAAGATTTGATAAGTAATGATGTAACAGACTATGCCTACTTAACAGATATTTGACTTACCTGTTGAAAATATTTAAAATTTAAAGATACCGCCTTTATATATCTCATAGCTGGGCACTAGCTTCCTCCAATTTCTGAGAGGGTTTAGATCCATGGTAACACAGGGGCTAACCGCTCGCTGTAATGCACAACGCAACTCAGGTTCGATCCTTGCCGGCACTAATGATAATGCTAATCGCAAGTTTACGTGCTGATTTACCACGCGAGGAAGTCAGCCAACACGCATTTGAGTAGCATGGTGAACTAATTGCCACACAACCCTCTCAGAAACCTTAACAAGTATTATCCTAACCCTAATTTTAATTCAGATATTAAGATACAACTTACTCTTAAAATACAATACATTCATAGCAATAAAATAAAAAAATGAAGTATAAGTTATAGCCTCAGCAAAATTAAATCGTTGCTTGTATATAATATATATAAATTATGAATAGCGTTCATAAAACAAAAATATAAGTTAGGATATACAACATGTTACAAAAACCTTGTGGTTCCCATTAAAAGCGTTATGTTATCAAACAGTATTCAAATGTCTAGGAATCTTTACTTCAGTAATCTTGACCATTAAAAATTAAATTAAATTAAATAATTTTTTATTTGCCATTTGTATCTTATTACCTCTCACTAACACACGCATCGGCGCGGTAAAAAGGGGTTTTGGCAATACTCTTATATCGTAATACCGCCCAATGAAGAGGTAATAAAACCACATACAATTTGCAAATAAAATTGTATCTAAATTCAATTTAATTTTTATGCTGGAGTTGTCTGGAGTAAACTTAGTTATATACGTTTGAATATTAATTCTGGTAATGCACTAAACAGGAACCAAAGGATTTTTGTTACATGCCATATATTAACAAAACGCAAAATAAAAAGAATGTTCAATAAATATAACATGGTGACCATAAATGAAATCAAATTAAGGAAAAAGGCTCAGGAAAACCACTATATGTGTAACATAAATTTGTGTATAATATAAATTTAGTATGACCTTAAAAGTAGCATTATATGTTATTAAAATATAACTAATGCTGAATGCAAATAATTTAATTCTGCCAACAAATCACCTTTGCACTAAGTAATCATATATCGTACCAAATATAACATTTTTCGACTACATTTTTATTAATTTCAAACAAATAATTGTCTATCAATATTGTCTAATGTGCAGCTAATTATTTTGTACTACGTAAAAATCTATAATAAAACACACAAAGTTTTAAAGTATTTTATAAAAATCATGGCAAAATGGAGTGTAACCTAAATATTTACATATAGAGATTTAATATTATTTTTACAATTATAAAAAATTGTGTTGAATTATTGAACGTTAGGATTTGTCACTATTTACAATTTTATGTAAGTTGATCAATATTTCATTTACAGTATTTTTTAAAAACTGTACTTTTTATTTATTGAAATAACTGATAATAAGAAATAAACGGCAATACTTATAAAAAGAAATTATCACTTTCTGATACTCAGAAATGTTTAAAGTTTCTCTCTCTATCACTTTACCTACTAAATTAAAATAGTAAGGAATAGATTAGAGATTAATTACCTAATTTAAGTAAGCGATGATGAACGATTAAGTCTGGATATGTCTAAATTCGAAAAATCAGATTTAACGTGGGGTACAAAAATTTTGCGGTAAAGCCAAAGTTTAACCCAATTTTTTAGTAAAGTAAGACGCATTTCTAAACTTTTACCTGATCCTATATACACACAAATAAAACAACTCCACTTATCTGGTTGAATTAAAGTTAACCAGACACAGTGGACAAGCCGTGGACAGAGAAACCTATAGTCAAATTGACGCCTTCTTTCGCATTCGCACACGAAAAAGATTTATGCATACGTCTTGCATAGAAATGAGACAGAGCGGTGTGATTGTTTATCCCTTTCTCCGTGCCGGTTTTTTGTTTAGCAAACTACACTTTGCTAAACAACTTTGACAGTTCGTAGCGATCTAAGGCGTTTACAAGTTGGTTTAAGTGAGAAAAAAGTATTTTGTGAGCTTAAGATTGGTGAATCTTGTTCAGTTCAGTTCTTAGAACAATTAAAAATTTTATCTAAATATGTTTAACAGTCATAAAGATTATTGTATAACGTGAAACTACGTTATCGTCCTTTCTCATTCTAGGCCACGCTAATCATTAGTCTATAGGTTTCTTTGTCTACGGGACAAGCGAACTCGAGTGGTAATTTGAGTGAGTGTACTCACCGAAGCTTTTCAAGGGTCCAGTAGTGCGTGGCGCCGTTTTTGGTGTCGGTGACCTCGACGGCGACGACGGTGGGCGCGCCGGGCCGGTACTCGTCGTCGGCGTCGTCGCGCGGCGCCAGCTCGCTGGGCAGCGGCGAGTACGGCGTGTCCGTCAGCAGAGTGAATTGGAACTGGACCTTTTTGCGCAGCTCCACGGAGATCGCGTTAGCTTCCTGTGCAGGGGTCAATACTGTGGCCTTAGTTTTATCCCACGTAAAACCGCAATTACATTATCGTGAACTCGCGGCTGACACGTAAGTCTAGTGGTCATCAAAGCGACTGTTAATCAAAAGCCGGGACGTTCGAATCCGGGGTCGGCCAATAAAAATCTCTGATCTCTCCGGTCTTGTTGGTTTGCCGTCCCACCGGACTATGAGAGTAAAGATACAATCTGGATGTTTCATTGAAAGAACCTTTCATCTCAAGATGTATTGTGATAAATGCTTCTTCTTTTAGAGTTTGATGTCAGTCACTGTGGCACCAATTGGGTTTGAATCCCGACTCAATTGTCGATAACTCTAAAATAATCTATTTAAACGGTTAAACGACGTGTGGACGTAGCGTAATGCGTCGCAAATCTCATTCCGGGAATGCACTTCGAAAAATTTCAAAAGAATTTAACGCCTCCGATAAAACCACCTCGTGTATTAATATGGAATACTATACATTTATAGGATTCTATGTGTATTATATCTATCCATTACAGCTTGTAAAAGTTTACTGTTGAACATAAACCTCCCTCTAAGAGGGTAGGAGAAATTATGCTATTATTGTCACGCTTGGCAGGCTGGCAGGCAGGCAGTTTTTGTAATTATTTAGTTGTTATCAAGAACACGCTCTTTCAGATTCCTTTTGTCGCATCTTACGACACCCGAAAGACGGTATGGGGTAATTTCTTACCCCACCTCTACACGGTAGTAATATTTATATATAAAAATTACGTGTCACGTTGTTTGTCCACGATGAACTTCTAAACTACTGAACTGATTTCAATAAAATTTTGCACACTGTGTCCAGTTTTTCAAACTTGAGAGATAGGGTGGTTTTGAAACCGATAAGTAACCCTTTATTTTTTTATTGTGTATTTAAGGATTTTTTACAGGAAAGTCGTCGGAAAGGTCAGAACAACGTCTGCCTGGCCAGCTAGTATATTATATGCAGATGTAAAATTCCTAGGCCGGTGACGGCAATCAGAGTCAAAGAAAAGACTTAGCGTTTATGGCATATCCGTTCCGCCTTAAAACACACCCATGTCCCGCAGTAAACTGGTTACGTGCTGATAAGACGAAAGTTGAGAATGAATGTACTATTTAAGTAAAAAGTTGATAGACAGGTTTACCTTGAGGAATATCGCGTTGCCCCACAAGTCGTCCCTGAGCGAGGTGAACTGGTGGTACTTCCACTTGCGGAACGCCCAGGCAGCCAGGCCGACCTCGCGCGCCGACCAACACTCTGTCTCAAACAGGGGGTTCACTACACGGACCAAACCGACCACGCATTACCATCGCAAACTTACATGCATTGCGCGCAACGGACATTGGCGTAGCTGGGACAATATCCCCCCCTCCGTCGTAGCACCCCAGTTTTCATTGTATTTAACTATGAAAGATCTCTGTGGTTTCAGGAAGAAAAGATTGTTTTCAGAGTGTATATATATATATATGTATAATGAGATTCGTACAACGTACTCGTTTGAGAACACACCTATAATACTTTGCTCCGTAATTTTTAGTGAATACTCATAATCAAAGTGCTTATTTAACGTCAAACTTACTACTAATTTGAAGAAGACAAACGAACAAAGATTGTAGTGAAAATTAGTTCCCGAAATTTTTTCGGTCCATCTGGTTAAAAGCAAAAATATTTCTAAGTATTTATATCGGCTGGAACGGCACTGACCGAGGACAACCCGTACACCGACTGCATCGGCCGTGAGGTGAGTCATTACGCCCTCACTGTTTAACGCACTTCGACTCGCTCAAACTATCTAAGCCTACCGTACTTATCTAAAATTTATTTTGTCTCTTGACTGGCGGCCTGCGTTTAAAATGTCTACGACTTGCAGCGGTTGTAACAACAAAATTCGCAATCTTGGCTTCATGAAATGTTCCAAGTGTAATAAACTATATGATTTAATGTGTCTTAATATTACGGAGGAACACTTTAACACTCTTTCGCAAAAGTACAGAAATGAATGGATTTGCCCGTCATGTGTTTGCTCCCTACCAAAAAAAAGGAACCTGTTAACGCCAGTGCGTTCTCCAGCGGCTTCCCTGAATGACGAATATACAATGAGCCTCAATGTCAACACCACAAGAGGGAATAAACAAAAATTGAAAAGCTCTGAGCTGCTTTCAAACGAAGACGTCGACTTAACTACATTAATTTCGGAAATACGCGACTTCAGGGACGAAGTTAAAGACATAGTACGCCAAGAACTGAAATTGCAAACATCAGCCATTACCAAATGCTTTGAAGAGAGGCTAGGTGAATTATCGAAGGCACTTGAGTCCAAAGACTTGGAAATCAGTTCATTAAAATCATTAGTTAATGAGTTACAGCAACAAATCGCCGTCCAAGACCAACACTCGATGCGAAATGAACTGGAGATTATTGGTATGCCTGAAGAAAACAACGAAAATCTCACGCATATCGTTCTCGCTACTTGTCAAAAGCTCGGAGTACAATTATCCGAAAATGAACTGGATGAAGTGGTACGTGTAGGCCCTAAACGTTCCTCAGGCTCAAAATCATCTATGCCCAACTACAAACACCCGCGCCCAATCATAGTCAAACTACTGCGACGTAAAAAGAGGGATGAGCTTATAACGGCAGCCAGGGTCAGGCGAGGCTTGTCATCTGAGAACATTGTAAATAGCTCACCACAGAATATATATATTAACGAACGGCTCACCAAGTCTAATCGCTATATATTTCGAAACTCAAGACTGCGAGCAAAGAACCTGGGCTTCCAATTCTGTTGGGTACGCAACGGAGGGATCTATATCAAACAAGCAGAGAACAAACCAGCTATCCGTATTCTTTCCTACGAAGACCTGGATACCAAAATTGGCCCCGAAAAAGCAAGCAAACTCTCTTAAAAGTGATATTTTATTTTTTGTTAAATTTACCGTAATCAAACACAATAGACTTATTACAATTTCTATTACTAGAACATGCATACACACTTTCACCATTGAGTTATATGTACTAGTACATAGTACATATAACTCAATGTCTTTCACACACAAAACGCACCGCACCAACATCACACTACACAATCATCAGTCCCGATTGTTTTGGCTCTCAATTAATGACTACTGTCCAAAATCACTCTTGCAGTTAGTAGAATTATTTGTTATTATTAAGCGAAAAAATGTGTGACTTTCATGTTGATATAGACGAAACTTTAACAGTAAAGTGTCATTCCATTGAGAGCCTAGAGCAATGTCGTAATTTATTACCCGTAGGTGTCGACTTTAAAGTTTTAAATGTCAATATTAGGAGCCTCCAACGCAATTTTGACGGTTTTTTGATTTCGTTAGCCCGACTTAATGTTGATCCAGATGTGGTTATACTAACGGAGTGTTGGCTTGGTGTAAACACCACGATTCCACAAATTCCAGGATATATTTCCTTTTACACAAAAAATAACCTAAATAAAAGTGGAGGTGTCACCGCATACGTTAAAGATTCATGGAGTGTAATATCTTCAGAACCGTTAAGTGACCAGTGCGATTGCCTAAAATTAAATTTAAATAATAATATTACTATTCTAGGGATATATAGGTCTCCCTCTATTAATAATGTGAAAAACTTTATAGCCTTTCTCGATAAATCATTATCGGAAATTAACAACAAGCATGCCGTGGTGTTGACAGGTGACTTAAATATAAATATAAACGGAGACCCACTTGATGATCAGTGCTCCGAGTATCTATGCTTGTTAGCAAGTCATCAACTGCTCTCTGCTATTTCGGAGCCTACCAGGGGCTCGGCCTGCCTGGACCACATCTTCGTTAGGGGTACAGATTCTGCTGTTGGTATAGTGTGCCATGCAGATCTTACTGATCATGACATTTGTTTACTTGGTACTACCATCAACCAGGCGAATCACCCATCTCGAATCCACGGTAAGGTCAAAATGGATTTTAATCGGATTGTTGACAAGCTTGAGTCGACTGATTGGTCATTGATAATGAATATGGAAGATGCTAACGAGGCAGCTGATAATTTTAACACAATCTTAGAAATGGCAATAAACGAAAACACAAGTTATGTGGTGCCCAAACGGTCAGATCGAGTTATAAAGCCATGGATAACTCCAGGCTTAATGAGATGCCAAAAACACCGTGACAATCTGCATCTCGAAGCCAGGAGAAACCCTTATAATACATTTATCCAAATCACTTATAAACGATACAGAAACTTCCTTTACGCGCTACAACGAAAATTAAAGACCGAATACGAGAATAATCAAATTCAGCAAAATAAAGATAACCCAAAAAAGTTGTGGAAAACGCTCAAAAATATATGTAATCTCACACGTAACACTACCGAGGCTACTGAATTGTTGTCCGTAGACAAAGACCCTGTTTCTTCTTTAAACGCTTGTAACGAGTACTTCACTAGAGTTGACAGAGAACTGGCTGATGACACGCTCAGAAGATTAAACACCCAAGAAGACCTGTTAGCTGCAGAATACAAACCAAGAGTGCTTTGCAAGGACTCCCTCTTTCTGCAGCCAACGGATCCTTATGAAGTTGGTACGCTTATTGACCAGCTAAAAAACGATACTGCACCGGGTATAGACAGCTGCACCCCAAGGTTGATTAAACAGATAAAACACATAGTTCTGCATCCACTTACCCACATATTTAATCTCAGCTTGTTATGTGGCGTTTTTCCTAATTGTTGGAAATTAGCAGTTGTTACTCCAATACACAAAGATGGGGATAAAAACTGTCCTAGTAATTACAGGCCCATATCTTTGCTAAGTATATTTTCCAAGTTATTGGAAAAAATAGTAAGCATACGTCTCACCAACTTTATAGAAAATAATAATTTGCTCTCTGTAAATCAATTTGGCTTCAGGAGGGGTAAGTCCACGGAGGATGCGGTAGTTCTACTGACAGATGCTGTGTCTAGACATTTGGACAATAAACGCAGCTGTTTAGGTATCTTCCTAGATCTTGCTAGGGCCTTCGACACCGTCTCGGTCCCTATTCTGCTGCGGAAGCTTGAAACAAAAGGAATTAGAGGAGTGGCGTTGGCTTGGTTTCGTAGCTATCCCTTAAATCGGCGTCAATGCATAAGAGTGGGCTCACATACAAGTAAGCAATTAAAAATCAGTATTGGAGTTTCTCAAGGAAGTATTCTTGGTCCAATCCTATTCTGCATTTACATTAATGACATCCTAGAATTACCCATACAAAGAGCAGACGTCATATGCTATGCGGATGATACAGCCATTATATTTAATGATTTAAGGTGGGACAGCGTACTCGAGACGGCTCAAAAAGGCATGGTAGTGTTGAATAAATGGTTAAGTTCCAATTTACTAACTCTAAACTATAAAAAAACTAAGTTCATAGCCTTTCACAAAACTCTCGCATCAAAACCATTTTCGCTGGTAAACTTAGTAATTCACACTTGCGTATCTGAAGTACCCTCTTGCGGATGTAATATAATCAGCAACACAGATAACATCAGGTATCTAGGAGTGATCATTGATGATAAGCTATCATTTAAAAACCATCTAAGCCGCTTGTCGGGTAGTGTTAGGAAAACCATTTACATAATGAAAGCTTTACGACGCTGTGCTACTAAAGAAACAATGAAAATGGTTTACAAAGCACTAACCCAATCCCTACTATACTACTGCACGCTGGCTTGGGGTGGAGCTATCAAATCAAAAATGCTTGAAGTCGAGAGGGCCCAGCGAGCAGTACTAAAAGTAATGCTGTCTAAAAACTTTAGATTTCCTACTGACGAACTGTACAAGGAATGTAAGGTACTACGGGTTCGCCAAATCTACATTTTAAAGGCAGTAATACTAACCCACAGAAAAATAATAAATTCCCCGGATTATCTTAGCCTGTGCCAACGTCGGATCTTTCGAGTGCCGATTCCCAATTCACACAGTAGCTTTATCAAACGCCACTCACCATTTCTTCTGCCTAGCATTTACAACAAATTCTGCTGTCTCTTCCCAGATTTGAGGTCTTTGTCCACAAGTAAAGTCAAACACAAAATAACAACCTGGCTGCTACATGCTTCTTATCAGGAAACGGAAAACTTACTTTCCTTTCATAGTTGACCCTATACATGCACACGCGTAGACTTACACTCACTCACACACACGCGCAATCACGATCCCCCCCCCCCACACACACAAACACACTCACACAGTCACACACACCACACACACACACGCACGCACACACACACGTTCGCACGCACACAAGCACTCCTAGAGTAAATTAGCTATTTTTTTTTCTCTTTCTTTCATGCATTAATTTATACAAAAAAAAAAAAGATTTATTTTTCGCTTTATTTTAATTTAATCGGAGTTCTATGTATTTATTGGTGTAAACGGTGTCAGTCAATGTTCTTGGTTCCTGCGATACAAGCCTAGAGCTTAGTGCAGAAACCAGTGTATTGCTTAATTATGTAATGTTTTTTTTTGGTTAAATAAATACATTTCTATTCTATTTCTATTTGGTATGGTAGTTATCTCTAGACTAATTAGTATATATATATATATATATATATATATATATATATATATATATATATATATATATATATATATGTATATACACTAATTAGTCTAGAGATAACTACTATAATAATGATGGAGTTTAGAAATTATGAAACAATTTTATTAGATGAGACGAATTAGTCTAATATATTTGTTTACAGTTAGGTTGTCTTAACTTTTGAGGCAGGTCACTCTATATGCGCGCGGCTTGGACAGCAAACGATGGAGATACGAAACCCGAACAGTGACGAGATGTAAAGAGATCAAGTCTTCGATAAACAAAGCTGTCTGTCATAAGCGTCGCACAGGAACTGAAACTTATGTTTCAAATAATTCGGATAGTGGTTATCGAATAGAATAGAAAAAACTGTGTTAAGTATCCCATATGTGTCTTCGCTGACGAATAGGAAGCCATTTAAGCTGAGTACGGAATGAAGATACATGATTAAACTTGCGAAGACGAAAAACGGGTGCAGTTATTAACGAAACGATCCAACTTGTCAAGGAAAATCTCATTAAGATAGGAAAACAAGGAAAGCCTTAGACCCAGTTTACATTTTGAAAAGTGACAAGTGCGAGTGGCAAGTGAAAAGAGGCAAGTGAGAATTGACAAGTGCGCATTTTATCACTTGTCACTGTCTGTTCACATGCACTATATATTACTACACTATATATTATAAGCACTTGTTATTTGTCAGTTGCACTTGTCACTTCTTAAAATGTAAGCCGGGCCTTAAGCCCAGTTTACATTTTGAGAAGTAAGAAGTGTGAGTGGCAAGTGCAACTGACAAACGACAAGTGCTTATAATATATAGTGTAGTAATATATAGTGCATGTGAACAGACAGTGAGAAGTGATACAAGTACTTATTGCATATTTTATTCACACTTATCACTTGTCACTGCTCGTTCACACGTACTAAGCACTTATTATTTGTCAGTTGCACTTACCACTCGCAGTTGTCACCTTTAAAAATGTAAACCGGACCATAAAAATAATAAAATCATTTTAAAATTTGAAGTAGGGATTTCAATAATTTTATACACTATGTCTTAGCACTTCAACCTTGAATTTAATAAGTTATTACGTAATAAGTTCTTACGTAACTAAATATCCCAGCTACGCCCATGCCTAAAATGTAAAAGTGTAAAGATGCTGTAAAACTTAAAAATGTAGAATGAAATGTGTTTTTTCTAATGATTTTGAACGGTAATGACCATGATTTAAACACAAAATCTGAAAAAAATCTACAAAAAAGTAACATAATATTTTAAATATTTTAAACCTACAAAACAATTTTAAGATTTGATAAGTAAGTATAGTAATATACATAATGTGTTTGTAAAAAAATTACCATGACTATTGATTTCAAGAACGTGTCAGATGCTGGATGCCGTGCCGTGATGATTTTAAAATTTAAAATGGCAACCATATTTTGACTAGGTCTAGTTATTATTAGCTATGTTTGATGTTTCAAGTCTCTAACTCTCTCAAGTCTTTATCTGGAAGTGTGTCAAAATTGATTCGAAAAAAACCTTTTTTATAGAATAAGGGCGATAAACGAGCGCACAGTTTACCAGATGGTAAGTGGATGCTGAGGCCCATAGAAATCTAGGTACATCTATCATCGATTAAGATTCAAAATGCAGATGCGTTGTCATTCTTGAGGACTAAGATGGAATGCTTTATTTCCAGTGAAAAGGATCTCCAGCACTCACTCATACAAAACACAGCAGCATTAAGCTGCTATGTTACGTTGGTATTCTGTGAAAGCGTGGTCCTACCCGGGTTGAGCTGACCCATTCGTGCTATAACAATATATGGCTCGACCTCGTTAACATTACTTTTAAATACCAAAAAATAGTCTAAGACTTTAAAATAAACAATGCGCATGCTTCAACCATTTTAAATTAAACATGCAAATTATATTTGTTTTAGATCAATGATTATTAACTTTATGATAGTAAAGAAGAAACTACTTATTTAAAACTCAAAATTAAATATTTTTAAGTCTGTGTCAAAGCACAAATTTATATTAACAGCTGTAGCAACTACACCAGAGTGTTACACGTACGAAACAACGGTTTTATTTTAAATGACGTTCATATATAAGGAACGGAATACGTGTCGGAAAGAACTAGCTTTTTACCGATCAGATCAGACCAGATCAGATTTATGTTTAAGTAAGTGTAATAATGAGTTTTCTATCTATTTTATTATAATAGAATATGAGTGAAAAAAGCACACAGTCCACCTGATGGTAAATAGATGCTGTGGACCGCAATGGATGCTATAGATACATCTACATCTATCTTCGATTAGTAATCAAAATGCAGACGTGTTGTTAGACCTGAGGACTAATATATAATGCATCGTTTTCAGTGAAAAGAGTTCCCAGTTCTCTGCAGTCACCATTTCGAAATCCAGCAGCATTGAGCTGCTATTTTACGCTGGTATTCTGTGAGAAGCGTTAAGTTAGAAGCGGTTCCATCCCTGTCGAACCGACCCATTTGTTCTACAACTAATATAGCTGCAACGTGGCTCTACCACGAAAACTTATTTAAACATTAAATTCTGCTATTTTACGCATTCTGTGAACATGATTCATTACAACAAGATTATAAAAGTAGCAAATTCAAATTTAAAATTTATATTAAATATAGTGCAACAGCCATAATTGAGCCACGCTGCAGCTTTATTACGGTTGTAGCACGAATGGGTCGGCTCGACCGGGGAAGGACCATGCTCTCACAGAATACCAGCGTAAAACAGCAGCTGTGTTTCGTATGGTGAGTGTATAGATCCCAGAGACCCTTTTTTACTGGAAACGAGGATTCCATCTTAGTCCTGAGGGGTGACAACGCATCTGTGTTTTGATTTTTAATCGAGGATAAATGTAGATGTCTATGGGCCACAGCATCCACTTACCAACAGGTGGACTGTGTGTCGTTTGTTACCCCTATTGTATTAAAAAATTATACGATGTAGTAACTTATTGATGGTTTTAACTTGCAATCTACTGGTTGGTTGAAAAGAAACTCCCTATCTTTATTTGGTTGTAAACTTTACCAGCTTCAGCCAAATTCATGTAATCTTATGTAATTTTTTTCTTTCCAGACTGAGAATTAGGTAAAACATCATAAAATGGCTCAATCAATGCAAGAGAGAGCGCAAATTGTCTCTCGCTACGAAGTGTGGCAATCAATAGTGGAAGTGCAAAGGTAGTGGCGGAATTTCAACGGACGTCGTGCTGTTTTGGATCCAAAAAACATTAAAAACTGTCATTCAACGTTGATGAAAACTGCATCAGTGGCAGATAAAAGAACCGGCCGTCCTGCAACATCAAGATCAGAAGAAAATATAAAAATTGTTCGAGAGATGTTCACAAGAAGCCCATAGAAGTCAACACGTCAAGAAGCTCGTGAGAGCAGACTTACACGGCACACTGTAATGACAGCCCTTAAGTCTCTCAGCTTCATCCTTGGAAACCACATTACTATCATTAAATATCTCCAGAGGACTGTAATCACCGGATGGAATACGGAGAGATTATGCTTGGATGGCATGGAGATAGGTCATAACCGTTTGATAACATTGGCTGGACTGACGAAGCAATTTTTCATGTTATTTGGATTTGTTAACTATCAAACTGTCATAATTGTCAAGTTTGACCCCAAAATAACTGCTCAGAAAATGCAAAACCGTTCCAAGGTAACAGTTTGGTGTGGTATGACATCAAGTCAAGTTATTGACCCTTTTCTTTTGAGGGAAACAATGAATGGAGAGCGCTATCCCAACATGCTCGAAAACAGAGTTTGGCCAGCTTTGTCAACGTTTGATAACATTGAAACTATGACATTTATGCAATATGGAGCTCCACCACACTTTGCATCGAATGTCCGACAGTGACTGGACAACCGCCATCCCAGGGCGTTGGTTAGGTCGTCGCGGACCACACGAATGGCCTGCTCGTAGCCCGGACCTCACGCCTTGCGATTTTTTCATGTGGGGTTGGGCAAAGGATGAAGTCTATCGCTCAAAACCTCGCACTCTTGATGAACTGGAATTAAGAATTCAGCAAGTGCTAACAAATGTACCTTAACATTTTCTGCAAAAGTTCGTAGCAGATATTCCAAAACGTTTGCAAAAACTGGTAGAAAATGCAGGCGCTTATATTGAATTCTGAATTTTTGTGATTTTTTTATAGCTCACATTGTACAGTTTTATTTGCTTAGTAGTTTGACAAATTAATGTAAAAAATTAAAATCTTATAACCAAATAAAGATAGCGAATTTCTTTTCAACCACCCGTTACATTACAGATCATCTAAGTCACCTACATCTGTCCTCCGATATGAATTAAGATGTATGTATCTATAGTTACTTAATTTTTTGAGCATCCGATTACAATTACAAAATGCAAAATATCTACGTTTTAATCGTCGGGTCGCTCACTCTGGTGTGAAATGCTAGGGTGCATTTCACCTTATATTAGATATTAACTCACCGAAAATATCTTCTTCATTGTGGAAATCTTCGGGCGTGTATGAGCTATACATGGACATGGTGACGCTCTGTTCTTCCACTTGCCTCTGAAGGGCGTCGATGCGAGCTTCGTAGTTCTGTATTAAATAGCTGATTAAGTATGCTTATATTTTACAACTACCGTGTAGTGGCGGTGTACGAATATCCATTATCCGGTGTACGAATATCCATTATCCGGTGTACGAATATCCACTATCTCATATCGCCACGTGGGTGTCGTAAAAGGCGACAGAATGAAACACACCAGAAGAAAAATGAATGAAAATTAAAAAAAATACGGTTGCCAACGAGGCTGCCAAGCGTGTTTACTATGGCAAATAATGCCAAGGGACTGATACACTGTTATAAAATATGATTGAATGAATATTTTAATTAAATAACTTGACCATCAAGCAACGCCAGTGAATTCAAATATTGCTACCTTCAAAAACTTTAGTTCTGGGATCAAATCGACTGGCAGAAGCCGACATTTGATCTAAAAAATATCTTTATTCTTGTATTTATGTTATTCCAGTGTCTCTGTCACATTATTCTATCCTTCTTCGGATCTTATCACTCAAGTGTTTATGATATTAAGGATTAGTTTGGGCGTATTTCTGTGTTAGCTTGAACACTTATGGCACTACAATATCGCCTACGCACTTGATAGCTTCCAAAAGTATTCTAGCTTTCTTCGGATCTTATCACTCAAGTATTTATGATATTAAGGATTAGTTTGGGCGTATTTCTGTGTTAGCTTGAACACTTATTGCACTACAATATCGCCTACGCACTTGATAGCTTCCAAAAGTATTCTAGCCTTCTTCGGATCTTGTCACTCAAGTGTTTATGATATTAAGGATTAATTTGGGCGTATTTCTGTGTTAGCTTGAACACTTATGGCACTACAATATCGCCTACGCACTTGATAGATTCCAAAAGTATTCTAGCCTCCTTCGGATCTTATCACTCAAGTGTTTATGATATTAAGGATTACTTTTGGGCGTATTTCTGTGTTATCTTGAACACTTAAGGCACTACAATATCGCCTACGCACTTGATAGCTTCCAAAAGTATTCTAGCCTTCTTCGGATCTTATTACTCAAGTGTTTATGATATTAAGGATTAGTTTGGGCGTATTTCTGTGTTAGCTTGAACACTTATGGCACTACAATATCGCCTACGCACTTGATAGCTTCCAAAAGTATTCTAGCCTTCTTCGGATCTTATTACTCAAGTGTTTATGATATTAAGGATTAGTTTGGGCGTATTTCTGTGTTAGCATGAACACTTATGGCACTACAATATCGCCTACGCACTTGATAGCTTCCAAAAGTATTCTAGCCTTCTTCGGATCTTATTACTCAAGTGTTTATGATATTAAGGATTAGTTTGGGCGTATTTCTGTGTTAGCTTGAACACTTATGGCACTACAATATCGCCTACGCACTTGATAGCTTCCAAAAGTATTCTAGCCTTCTTCGGATCTTATCACTCAAGTGTTTATGATATTAAGGATTAGTTTGGGCGTATTTCTGTGTTAGCTTGAACACTTATGGCACTACAATATCGCCTACGCACTTGATAGCTTCCAAAAGTATTTGAAGTTGTTGTCATTGTTGAAATCATCATCAATTTACTAAGATTTACGACTAAAATCCTCTGTTAGTGCAGCACTGGGCAGAGGACCCAATGAAAAAATTTTCCGGTTAAGTTGTTGTGTTTCAGGTTTATGTTTCAGGATATAGACCAATTAATCCGCTGCGCTGTTCCAGTGCTTGTTAGCCAGGGCGGACATAACATCATGATTTCTTCACGATGTTTTTCCCCCATTAACAACATTTGATAAAAATAATATTAAAACTAAGAAACAACCAGCCACACACCTTTCGCTGTTCTTCGAACTGCTGATCTGCATGTTCCTTCTCCCTGCGAAACTGTTCCTCGAGCGCCAAGAGACGCTTCTGCATCTCAGCCTTGAGGTCGATACCTTGCTTCTCCAGCAATTCGCATTGGGCGAAGTCCCAGTCAATGTTCTCACCGTCTTTACCACCTAACACAATTTAAAAGTTAACGTTTATACCAGCATGGATACTTAAAAAATCATATGCAATGGGTCGGCTCGATCAGGGAAGGACCACGCTTTCACAGAAAATCAGCGTAAAATAGCAGCTTAATGATGATGTGTTTCGTATGGTAAATGTATAGAGCAGGAGATCTCTTTTTACTGGATATTAGGCATTCCATCTTAGTCCTCAGGGTTTACAACGCATCTGCATTTTAATTACAAACCGAGGAGAGATTTAGATGCCTATAGACTATAGTATCCACTTACCATCAGGTGGATTGTGTGTTCGTTTGTCAGCCTTGTTCTATAAAAAAAAAAACAGTCCACCCGTTTGTATGCGGCTATTGCAGCCGATGAGCACTTGCAAACCGCTACAAACTCAAACGCACCCAATGTCTCCTATAATGACTAAGATGTAATACCTCGTAGCCTGTAATTATGTGACTCGTTTACCAACAGCAGTGTGTGCTCTACTGCTTGGAAACACCTAAAGATCAACGTGTGATGTCATCCAGACGAACGTCTAGGCAGATAAGATAATAGACACGTGCACGCTTACTAATAAATGAGGTGTAATATATATAATAGTAAATTTAGTAAAAGACCCTTGGTAAAAGAAATGTCCACGCCCAGTTGTGGACTGTTTATGGACTGATGTGAAAAGAGTAGGTTAGCGATATTCAAGTAATTGCGATTGAATATTATGAAGGATGCAATTTTATATTCAGCTGTTGCTATTCCACCACAAAGGCGGAGATCAATAATCTGTAGACGAATGAATGTTTTACTGCAGCACTAAAATACGTAGTGTATATTTTTAAATCTTACCGTCGTTATTGCTTCCGTTATTTTCAGTAGTGCCAGTGAGTTCCTTGTTAGAAATAGTGGGCTCGTAGCGCTGTCCAGGGTGTGTGAAGCGGAACACATGGTTCTTGCCCAGGATGACTCGGGAGCCGGTCTTCAATATTATTGGCTCTTTTACCTGGTCGACACGCATATTTTACTGTAAAACCTCCTGTGATGGCTATTAAAAAACTAAAGCTATTAAAATGCTATCATTGTAAAAAAAATTGTAATGGCATCCCCGAAGTCTGTCCGCGACATATATATATATATATATATATATATATATATATATATATATATATTATATATATATTATTTCGAGTCATTAAAATCCTTGTTTATGTAGATAACAATAATTTTTACAATCTACAAAATTTCTTATATGTGCAAGAGTAAACAAAACTTTCTCTCGTGTGAATGTTATTTATTTCGTTATAAGATTACAATTTATAAAACATTATTTTTCTCATAAATTAAAACAAAATTTTTAAGTTATTTTTTAAGACTCACCTCCCGACCGTTAACATAGACGAGTGCCCCATGATGAGGTACGAGGCAGATAACACCATCTGTATTCTCAAATATGCAATGTTCACTGAGGATGTGGGAGCCGGACAGTTGTATATCTTGTGGAACATTGGCTTCAGACGTGCCAAGTCGGGTTACACCTACCAAATAAAATTAAAAACTTGTAATACATAATCAAACATGAAATATTGTAAATTTATACTTTAGTAAATATCTTAAAACTATACGGAGTCGAATAAAAGCATTGCCAATTTAATGCGATACGATTGAAGTGGCAAGTTAATTATGTGTATGCGCGAAATGTGTGCGTTTGCTTTGTTTGTTTCATATAAACTCGTACATTACTTGGTTATCATGGTCTCTGACTTAGCTTAGTTAGTTAAAATAAAGGACAGGTTATTGGAACTGTTATTTCAAAGGAACAAAAACAATAAAAAGGAAAGTAGCTTATAACTCGAACTCACCATCTTTAATATAATAGATGAGGCATTCTGAAAGATTAGGGTCTTCATTGAGGTTAACGAGATGCGGCGTCTTCTTCGGTGAGTACACACCCACAGTGATTCCCTCCTTCACTGCGACGCCCATCTCAGCGAACACAGCCTCGCGTTGCACGCGGATCTGTTCTGTGCGCTTTAGTTTCTCTTCCCACGTTTCGTTAAGTTCTGTTGGAAAGGGTTTTATCGTAAAAAAGTCACTATAGAACTAATACTGAAATAAAGGTTACAAACGAGTACACAATCCACCTGATGTTAAATGGTTTCTGCCAAAGAATACTATAATACACAATAGAATGGCTGTCAACCTTATTTTGTACAAGGATCGGTGTCGCCGGGAGCACACATACAAGCAATTACGTCGTGTTATCACTACTACAAACCCGATTCGCTGTATTGACAGACTGAGCGAATTTACACATTTTAGACTTTTGATTAATGTTTTTGATACATCAATATTTCTTTATTTTTGTTTCTAATATTCACAAAATATAAATAGTTTCGACTTTCCGGTTGTAGGATATGTCTCCGTTATTTAAATTCTATTTCCCGCTGTTCTTTCGACACGTAATTATTGCACAATTTGCCATTTTTTAAATAATTTGCATGCGGTGACGCTTGACACGAAAATTGGTAACGATTGATTGTGTTGACATTTATAGGTGTGAATTGACGTAATGTTAGTGACATGTTAGTGGCTACACGGGCTCCGCCCACTCCCTCGTTCTATTATGTATGTATTATAGTATTCTATGGTTACTGCCTGTTAATGATATGTATCCAAAGATATATACTTACATCTATCCTACACTGTAGCAGTATTATTATCAAACGAAATCTACCTGATGGTAAGGGGATGCTGTTGCCCATAGCCATGTGCGTCTATACTCAATTAAGAATCAAAATCCAGAGTGTTGTCACCCCTGAAGACTAAGATAGAATGCATCTATTCCAGTAAAACGGGTCTGCGGTTATCTACACTCACCGTACAAAACACAACCATCTTACGAACATGAAACACATTATGCTGCTACTTCACGCTAGTATTCTTTACGGACAGTCTTTCTCTGGTCGGGTCGACCCGTTCTCGTTGTAGCATATTACTATGCTACATTGTGTTTCTAAGACGTAAATTTACATAACATGACATTAAATTACAGGAGGGCAATAGAGCATTCTGTTATAAGTAATTTTACTGTGCTTAATATGTGTGACTTCTTGAAATATAACTATAATATCAAATATGTACTATCACAAACCATACCTTAGGTGTCGTAAGTGGCAACAGAGAATATAAAACAGGGGACGAACAGCAAATTCTTCTTGATAACAACTCATTAAAAAACCTGCGCTTTAAATTTTGTGTTCGACGTGTATCTGACCATGAAATGCACTAATTGTTAGTTTCATGTAAAAAAAAAACTCTCAATCTGAGCTGTATTGGATCAGACAATAACGTCTTATAGTAAACATCCCTTAACTAATATGGTTCAATGAATAACGGTTCAATGACTAGGTTCGTAGGTGGTAAGACTTCCTTACAACCCAGGAGGCTGCCTAGGGAGGTCACCCTCTTACTTCTGCCGCCCAACAACAGTGTGTGCACTGCAATGTTCCGTTCTAGAGGCTTAGAGAGCCAATATAATTACCGTCTGTGAGACTTTCTTTATTTGAAATTGGTGGCAGGTATCCGTGGGCTGCAGAAGCCATTTACCATCAGGAAAACTGTGAGTTCATTTGTCATTTCAATTTTATAAAAATGGACTAAAGCGTTAACAGGCCTCTCGGGTTGATGGACACACTTGAGACACAAGTTGAGGAGGTACTTGCCGGATACGTGGAATTCCATCTTAATCCTCAAGGGTGACAATGCATCCGCATTTTGACTGTTAATCGAGGATAGATAGGTGGGACAGGTGGGCTGTGTGCTCATTTATCACCGTATTTCTATAAGAAAAAGTACTAGTAATTATTACCAGCAGATGCAGCCTTAGTCATGACTGCCATTGACATAACACGATAATTTAATCTGATATATTAATAAATTTAACCATTTGCTTGTATGACGGTAAAAATTTACTGAGAAAAATCGTAAAAGTACACGTAAAAAAACAATTAAACGAAGTATTAAATGATATCTACACGAGATGCATTTTAGCTTATTCTAAGATCAAATGAAAAGCTCTTTACCTGCAATGAGTTTCTCTGAGGCTTGCAGCTGATCGACGGCATCTTCGGCTATGGTCGTGCCCGTTCGGGACAACTTCGGCGACATCAACGCCTCATCGTTCTTCTTGCGTGCCGGCGATGAATTCTCATCTCCTGTTTCGTCACATTGTATTTACCATAGCAATAGACAAGGACATATATTTTTACGGAGTATACTACCATAGATGTTAAAAAGTTTGGAAAAAGAATGCGGCAAATTATTTAAATCTAATTTTTAGATATTGTAGTAAAAGCTTTTATACTTGAAATAGATTTGTGACAAAAATTGATATTATGTAAATGTGTGTACAATTAGACACAATATAATTTCTAAACGCTTATAATCATTATTACAGTTGTTATAATATCAAGTTTATGTAAAATTAATTATAATATAAGACGTTTCTTACTCATTTTTGGTCAAAACACGTGTAAAATAAATTTACAACTGTTTCAATTTTTTAGTTACTAAATAAACAATTAGTAACTAAAAAATTAAAAACTCTTGTAATTTTCTTATTCAAAATAATCTAGGTACAACATGAAACAATTTTATTATATTATATTCTTACGTTTCATAGTATAGACGTATACTATGAAACGTAAGAATATAGAATAAATCACAAAGAAACTCGTAAAATACATTAATCAACAGAAGTGCATCAATGACATTGTAAGTAATGAGAAAATGCGTTAAACCCGAAACCATTAAATAAAAAAACAAACGGTAAGTTTCTTTATGAATCGTTATGAATATATTCAGATAAAAAGTAAATAATAATTTGTACAATTTTTGCCACCATATCCATATGGTAAAGGACCTAATTTTCCAACACCTTGAGTAATTGAATGAGAGTAACGTATTGAGTAAATTAACTTTATGTTAGTTTTTATCGGAATTTATGTATAGCTAAATAATAAGTAAAAAAACTATTCGTATGTAGATACATGCAGATGCTGACGAAGCTATAAAGCTTTTGTTATAGCAACATATACATTTATATGAACAAATATCCGTTCGCGACCTTGTTTGTCTTTATATGATAAAACATTTCCCAATTTTGTAGTTCTCAAGAAGGTTTATACATAAATTATTTTTATTTTCAAAGTTGCACTACTAAGTATGCCAATTATACATTTTAATAATCATGAATGGCCGCGAACGGTACTGGATTGAAATAAAATGGACTGAGCATTTTTATACTGTATAATAATGTTATGTTTTTCTGTATGCCAATATTTATGTAAAAAATTAAACTTTTGCGAAACTATATCCTTCGGTTTATATGACATTTTAAAGTATTTTAAAAATAACCAAAATGCTCAGTGTTGCTGTGAACAATATTTTAAGTACATATAACGAAAAAAATAAACACATCGAATATATATTACTCATTATATCTAAATATAATAAAAAACCAACACCAAAACAATATGAGAGATAAGCGCTGTTATTGAACGTACGTATTTAAATAACAATTCACTTCATGTTACCGATAGTAATTGTGAAGTGATTTATACGATAATATAATATAAATAACCTACAACGCCACAAGCACTGGAATAAGGGTGCGAAATTGCTCATTCTTTCTCAGTATGTGTTTGGGGTTGCCAGAGGTATATCCAAAGTGATTATACATATTCTTGAATCCGGCAACCCAAAAAGGAGGCCAAGCGTACTGGTGGGGTGTACATAATATGCGATGCGCAAGCCTCTTTAATGTAATTACTTACTGATGGGCAGGTCTTTCTTTTCATAAACGACTCTACCATCCGGTCCTAGATCGGTTGGTTTTGAAAACAAAAGTTAAGGTTTAGTATCAGGAATATCGTTTTTAATAAAAAAAGTTTGTGGCGTTATGTCGTTGTTTCTAGCATGATTCTTTACATTCTTTGTTCATAAACACATGACGATCTATCGATTCACAAGACGACTAAGCGGCCTAACGTTATTGCTCAAGCAATAAGGTTACTTTTCGCTTACCTTCCTCGACATCGATGCCTTCAGCTTTGAGAAGCTCACGCAGTTTGAGGATCTCTTCTTTGAGCTCGCGTATGAGTTTTGCGTTGGCGTCTTCATTGACGACGGCTTTGCAGACGATCTGTTTGGCACGATCTGCGTATCTGGTAAATAAAAATGACATATATGGCGGCAATTAACACGATAGTGGTAAAGAATCAAGCAATTATTGCCAGAAAGCTTAGGCTATTTTTACAGAAAGATGAAAACACGTGCAATAAATCCTTAAAAACAACTGAAAGTTTTAATATCTTAAGCCCTTTTACATAACGTATAATTGAAACTTATCAGGAATTGCCTCGATAAATGTTTTATCCTCTCCTGTAAAACTAAGTTACTTGGTTTTGATATTGGGCAGCCGACAATTCAATTAGATTGTAGAAAAGATCGGACAAACAATGGGTCCTGTGTGTTCAAATTACACTAAAATTCTTTTAGTTTAAATTGTGTAAAATTATTATTATTGTCATCTCTTTACTATTTGCCGGAATGAAGATACTAATGTTGATTAAATTGGCATTGACTTGAATTTTAACATTATTTATTAATGTTTTTACTTACCTAAGTGTACTCAGCGTCTCATCATAGTTGATATCGGCTGGCGAGATGGCGGCAATCATAGCGGTCTTCGAGTTGCCACCGAGGTTCTCTCGCAGCAGCCATGTCAACACCGAATCACGATACGGGATGAAGTCCGCCTTTTTAGATTTTTTGCTCTTTGATGCCTAAGAGAGTAAAATATGATTAATAACGTAATCAGTCAAAGCTTAAATAGTAAATTTGTGTATAAGTAGATAAATAAGAGTTGATATACATTTCCTAGAATATGAAGAAAAAAATGTTATGCAGGGGAAATTTTATAATCGCTTAAATTGTTTATATTGAGGGCGTTTACCAATAGAACACATGTTCTATATATTGACTACCCTAAACAATTTTTAAAACACAAAAATATCAAAATTTTCTAATACATTTCATGTTTCGTAGTGTCCGATAAAATTCGGTTAAAATCTTTTCAGAGAAAGAAAACTTTTAGAATTTTTCCTTACAGTAATGTCACTGTTTATAATAATGCCTACTAAATTGAAGTGTAACAGTACATATTATAAATTTTTAAGAAACAGCAATATTGTCAATCAAGTTCTCATTACATTTATTACATTAAAAATTAATAAAGCTATGTCGTTTTCACGTTTTATTTTAATCTTATAATATGTATAAGAAAAATGAAATTCTTGTCACGCCGAAATAAACTAAAGCATGCATATATACAAAAAACAAACAAGTGATGAGCTAAAACTATAAACTATGCAAATATTTCGTATTTAAAAACTAATAAATTTTTTGGAGCCCACGCTAAATTTGCAGTCACAAAACTCATATTCTGTTCAAACAATGCATTTTTAGTTTAAATCTAAATATTCAGTGCGCCAGAATCTTAAATAATATTTGGGTAACAAATAAGAATTTAATACTTAAGTAATATGTCTATATATACAAATGGCTCCAAAAGCTCTTTGAAAAAAAAAACATGTATGAAATATATGTATACAAACACACAAAGCATTTTACAGAGACCTTGTAGAATGTTTAAAAATGAGAATGTTACTTACCGACTACATTTCCGAAAGAAAGTAACGCAGTAAAAGTTTAGAGAATGATTTGAGTAAAATTATTTTTATCAAGTAGCAAAATAGCATCGGATTCTTCATTCTTTCTTAAAAATATAGGGTTAAAACTTGATAGAAACTTTCAAGTTTTAAGAAACAGAAGTGAGATGGTTTCAAAAAATTAAGGAATAACCGACGAAATAGAAGTTATAAAATAAATAGTAAATATAGAATATTAAAGCTATGTAGATAGCTATAGGATAGTGATAAAATAATCTAGGAGGTTGCTTTTTAAATATCTACAGGCTGAAGGATATATATAGAGCATAAAAGCTGTAAGGTAATTAGTCCTCGGAGATTTTTTTATTTAACTGGCTTTACGGCTCTGGGTTCTAGCCCTTCTGAGCCTATCATTTCTTTTAGAATCTTCTTTTTATACATTTTTTTCTTCACAATATGCTGATGCGTCACATTGTGAAGTTTATGGAATATTTTCACGACAGTTCAACTCAGCGGACTGTTGATGACGACAACCACTCAAGTTAATAAGGCGCCCAAGCGATAAAACTTGAGGTTTATATCAACATTAAAGCACTTGTTTCATCGTTTTCTCTAATAGTTCACACGTGCAGACACTTAATTCACAAAATCGCATCACTTTTACGAATCAAAATCCACTTCAAACCATTATTCAAGCGACAAAACAGGAGCGACAGTTCGTCAACGGCCAAGTTCCCGCCAAAACTCTAGTCCTCGGAGGCGACAGCGCACCTGTAGCCTTCTTTGTTTGAGGTTGGTTGCACATGTTTATGAGCTGCAGTTGCCACTTTCCATCAGGTAGACTGACCACGATACGTTTGCTACTTCATCTTTATCAAAAGACTAAAGAGCTAACAGTACACCTGATGGTAAGTGGCTAGGTGAGGAGATGGATCTGGCAGTGGGTAGTTACGATCTGATGAAGACTCGCTTTTTTATCTCGTTCCATTAGAAAACGGTTTAATTAATGCTATCATTCATTCTTTTTTAATCATTACAGGACGTCAAAAGAACACTGGCAATAGCCATTTACCATCAGATGAACTGTAAGTTCGTTTCTCACTTCAAATTACAAGGATATACTCGTAATGTAATGCAGTTCTGCAAACGAAACTTATTGTAAAATTTTAAATTCACTTTTATTACTTTAGTTTGAAGTATAATCTTTTAATATGCGAGTGACAAGCGGGCCACCGTAAGTGGTTACTGCAGCCCGTCGACACATGTTACCAACTACCAACATTGGATGAGATTAGAAATGCTACACAACCTATAAATATCTATAATTATACTGACACTCATACTCTTCAGAACGGACCATAACAATGTTGACTTTGACTTTTTTGCGACACCGTGTCGTAGGATTTACATCTGTATTGTGGAGGCAGTTTACAAACATAAATTGCACAAGGACAAACATCCAGACCCGGAACAATTACTTGTAGGCTATACAAATATTTGTTCCGTGCGGGATTCGAACCCGCGGCCCCCAGCACAGCCACTCATTGCTAAGCGACCGCGCCACGGAGCCGTCAAATTGAATAGTTTTCTAAATTCCAAAAATTATTTTGCGGCGTAATTTTTATCAAATATCTTCATATATTATTTATATAGTTAAATATTTAAGTTTTAAGAAATCTTCATATATAGTAGTACATTACAGTGTAGTACAACTGAAAAAATAATTCGTAAGGGAAATTATTATACGCAATAATCACTAATATGTCGCACCTACACATGTACAGATTCAAACACAAACTTTTGTACATCTGGTCACATCACGGTATCTAAGTAGCATTCCATATACAACATTGTCTAACATTCAATACATTTTTCTAAATCTCCACGTGCACATTAAGGATTTAACTTACAATTTCGGCCAGCGCGGAGATTACTTTGCCGAGGGTAGTGAGCGACTTGTTGATGTTGGCGCCCTCTTTCAGGCGGGTGCCCTTCGCGCCCGTAGAGTCCGCACGTTCTGACCCGGCCAAATCCACCAGTGATATTTTTGATACCTATTGACGTTCACAGTTATTAATAAACATACATTATATCGATTTACCATAATAATTACCGCCGGGGAGATTGTGGTCTAACACTGGCTTATTTAAGTACAAAAAGATATTTACACATTATGCATAATTCGAAACAACCCTATGTTTTTTCCCATTATTTCTTATACAATATCGCTCTTGCACTTATGAATCGCTTTCAAGTTGCCTTGTTAATTCTATTTTAACAAAATTTCCATTCGACCAATCGTTTCAATTTGTTACCGATATTTTATACTGATATACATTGAGGCTACATATATAGCAAATTTAAGCAAAGTAAATCAAGTTCAAATCTAGCATAATATGTAAGGACTATTCATTATCGTGCTAAGTGCAATTTTCTCGATAAAAAAAAGACCATAATATTTTGATATACTTACTATAATAATGAGTTTAAAATACTATATTGTATGAGATATTCATTTAAAACAATTTTGGCGTATACATCATTTTTAATCTGTGAACGATACGTTCGTGTATCTCAGGGTTTTAGGGTCCGTTCACACAGACCGGCTCGGAGAGGAGAGCAGATTTTTATCACGTTGGAAACAGTGTTTTGAGTGATTGTAGTAAAGTTTATTTTTGCATTTGCACCTTTTTTGTCATTAAAAATGCCTGAACGCGCTTCGTGTGAAGTAATAAAAGGAGCCGACCGGCTCCGCTTGCGTGCTCTTTCTCGCTCGCGCAGCCGATGGGCTCCGATTGCGTGCTCTTTCTCTATCGCGTAGCCGATCGGCTCCGATTGCGTGCCCGCTGCGGCCGCGCCGACCGCCATTTTGATAGCAACATTTGAACGTAATAGTTGTGCGTACTTGTACGAAAAGATGAATGATGAAAAATTAATAATACTCGTGTCAAAATATGAGTGTTTATTTGACATAACCAAGCCATCATATAGCGATCGGATAATGAAAGACAATGCATGGGAGGAAATTAGCAAATGTCTCGGAATAAGTATAATAGGTGGTAAGTAAGGTTTTCATTGTTTTACACCTACCCCCAGATACTCAAACGAATTTTAAAGCAAGGGCTTCTTAAACTCGTGCTGCGACGTGTTAGATTCAAAGTCAAAATAGGAATAACATGAGTTTAAATGCGCCCTTACTTTAAAAACTCGTTTGAGTATCTGATCGTTTGAATATACTTATGTAGTAGACAATTTTTATTAAATATAACTTAAGAAACTCGCGTAGCCACTTGATCTTGCCAATCTAAAGCACCACTTGATGAAAAATAATCCTTAAATTTATTCCTTGTGGTTAGAACTGCGTCGCTATTAGAACTGTTTTCATTATTATTGTCTGTTATTGCTGTTAATAAATTTATATTGCTGTGAAATTCATTCTCTTGTCCTGGCGTCCGATTTTCTATTAAAAAATTATGTAAACATGTATATTTAATTATATTAGCAACTACATGTATATATGTAGTTGCTAATATAATTAAATCACAGTACTTCGGCTGAATTTTCATTCGTTTTTGATAAATTTCAAATCTTTGAGTTAGCATTCCAAATGCACATTCTACGACTTTTCTTGCCCTGCTTAAACGCAGATTAAATACTTTTTTTGATAATTCTGTTCTTGCTTGTTCTCTTGGATACGGCCGCAATATATTATTGCTCAAAGGAAATGCCTCGTCTCCTATAAAAACATGTGGTAAGCTTTCAGTGGTACTAGGTAGAGGTTTATTTGGGGGCAGCTTTAACTTATTGGTGTTGAGTTTTTTCCAAAATTTTGAATTCTGTAAAATTCCGCCGTCGCTATTTTTACCATATGATCCGACATCAACAATTAAAAAACTGTATTTCGCGTCGACCACAGCTAGTAACACTGTACTGAAAAAGTTTTTATAATTATAGTATAAGCTTCCACTATTATCTGGTGCCTGTATATTGACATGCTTTCCGTCTATAGCGCCCAAACAGTTAGGAAAATTCCAAATATTAAAGAAATCACGTGAAACCTTTTCCCACATTTCTTCATCTGGCATCTGCATAACTATGGGCATCAAAACATCACAAATTACTCTGATTGTCTCATGAATAATTGAATGAACTGTAGAAATTCCCATTCGAAAATTAAATGACAAGTTTTTGAAACTGCAACCAGTGATGAGGAATCTGTAAAAATAAAACAAACACACAAAATAGAAATATAAGACTGCCGTACCAAAACGAACTATAAAATAAAAAAGAGTTATGTTATTAATTTTTCATTTCTGTTCTTTCCAGTGACGCAGTGCCAGGATCGTTGGAAGAAACTGCGAGATAACTTCAGAAAAGCCTATTATAACCGAAAAGGCAAGAGTGGCGATGGTGCAACTACGTCCAAATTGATAAAATTTGAAAAAGAACTTTCTTTTATAATACCATTTTTTCGCAATCGAAACCAAATATCTAATGTAACATTATCATCGGATGATTCAGAGCCTGGCACACCAATACCACCACCATCGACATCATCTAAACGTTCTGACCATTCTGAAGTTGAATCGCTTGCAAGTACTTCTGGCTCGAAAAAGAGACCACGCTTAAGCAAAGATGTTGCTACGGTTTTCGAAGAGTATCTTGAAGAAAAAAGAAATACTACACCCCGTGACAAGGCATTACGTAATTTTTTTTTGTCTATGTCAGATACAGTGGAAACATTCCCAAAAGAAGTCCAAGCACGAATTAAAAGGCGCGTGTTTAACATTGTTAATGAAGCTGAATTAAGTCTGTATGAAAATAGTACAGATTTGAATTATTCTTTGTCTATAAATTCACCGCCATCGACTAATCAATCTACTTACCTAGTGTCAAACGAAACCTATATTCCTCAAAACTATCCAGATCAGACTACTTACGGGTACAATACCAGCACACAAAATACAAAATAATAAACAATCAAAAACAATAATAATTATAATAATAATAATTAAACACACACAAATCTGTACTATTTAATTACATTTCATTAACGTAAATAATGCTTAATAAATGGAGGGCTGTGATTTTGTGATCTATTTAGATGTTTGTGTTATTTAACATGATTAGTATAAGTAATTTACATTTCATTAACGTAAACAATGCTTAATAAATGGAGGGCTGTGATTTTGTGATCTAAATAACATGATTAGTATAAATAATTGTTTTTTATTTACCTTAAAGTTACCGTTAACCTTTCTTCGGCTGTAATGGTGCAACGATAATTTGTAGTCTTTTTTTGTTATATGTACTCTTAACAAATCTGTCAATTTCAAAAATTGCCAATATTCCATACGATAATACTCATAAAATTTTAGGCTATCTCTCTTCAATTCCTCGAAAATGGTGTGAAACTCCCCATGGATTAGTCTGTTTTTCCAAATATGTTTTACCCATATTTGTTTCCGCTTGCGCTTACGTTTCCTATGTTCTATTTCAAGTAATCTTGCTAACAAATATATTTCTTCGTCGGAGCTATCTAAATCCATGTTTCGAAAAGCACACGTTCACACCGAAAACAAAACTTAGACTGCGCGGAATACTGGCACTGCCTTTGTAGTGTATCCACCCGACTCCGAGCGCATCCGACCGGCTCCGAGCACATCCAACCGCACCCGCTTTCAGATCTCTTCCAGCCGGTCGATGTGAAATAGTTGGCGGCTCCGCTCCGGCCAATTCCAAGCGTATACGACCCGGTCTGTGTGAAAAGAAAAAAGCAGGCCGATGCTCTCCGAGCCGGTCTGTGTGAACGGACCCTTATACGCGCTCTTAATATTATCAACTCGTAAATAATTCACTGTAGATTACTGTACATTTCGCAAAGAAAGAAAAATTTGCTCAATCGCTGTACTTGGCAGAATAGTATTAAAAAAGAAATCAAATAATGTCAATCAATCAAAAAATCAACAAGCTTATTTAAAAAACATCAACAGTTTTAGTTTGAACTGATCAGTTGGAATGATCAATTGAACTGACCGTGTGCGGCGTCCATTAAGACTTGAGGAATACTAGACGAAAAGATGTGTTATAATTCTCGAACGCTTCCCAATCGATTTGGCTCCGACAATTGACTGTCGGATAAAGTGGGAACATATCTTGCCGCACTATTTATCCTAGGTCAAAGGATAAGTACAAATTAACATATTTTAGCGCTGAAATTAAATTTTCAAGTATTCTAATTGCAGGGGTTTCACTTTATAAGTGAACCAAATTCTGAAATGTGTGTCACCAACAATGGTTTAGATAAACCGAACCGAAAATCAGTACTTATTAATGTATTATTTTAAAATATAGGTATACCTTTTCAGACATTAGATTGGTGGTCCTGTCGTGTCGCTGCTGCGTGAAGAATATAGTGAACACAGCGTGCGAACGAGACGATGTCTCGTTCATGTTGGTCGCTGCGACCGTCCTGCAACAACCAAATACAATTTGTACCTAACATTAATGTTTATCTTATTTTATTTATTTACCATATACAATTTACGTAATTGCCTACATGATACTGTTGAAATGCTAATTATTTTTTTAAGTTGAAAAGGAATCACACATGCAACCACAGCACCCTTTATTCATATTTTGATTTTTCATTTGTGGTTTTTTCTTCTTGTTTTTTAAAGCCTACAGTTTTCTTTCAGTCTGTATGTTAATAAGATTGCCAAAATTATTTATTTAACTTATGTATTTTATATAAAAATAAAAATATAGGTAATATTAACAGATTTCGGTTAACCTCATACTAATACAAAAGAAACTATCTCATGATTACAAAGTTAAATAACGGTGATATTCTCGTACCGAGCCTTGTTTCCCTCGTCGATGAGGTCGTAGATGTCTTCGTATGAGGTGACGGCGAGCTTGCTTAGGTCCTCGACATAGGGACCGAGCGCTGGGTGTTCACGAACACGCAGATTACCTTTGTTCTTGGGATTCAGAAGATCGCGAACCCGCTCGCAGTATATTTCCATATATGATACTTCAACCTATAACAAACAGTTGCGATCACAATATAATTTATAAAGTATAGGTATAAAATAAAAAAAATAGTTCAAACACAAATAACAACTAAAAATTCCATTCAGAAAAATGTTTGTAGTTCGGGTATTAAGTATTCTTTGTACATAGCTTTGACCCATTATATAATTTATTTCAAAATTTTCTGCATATTTATTATTAAAAAAATATCTAAACATTTCTGCGTATGAGTATTATTTACGAAGTTTCAATAAAACCTAAAACAAACTAATATTTTAATAATATGTATGAAAGTTTTATACGAACGAACTGTTTATAAAAAAAAACGCATAAAATTAATATTAAATATCTTACAGAATACTTGAGGTCATCGCAGGTAGTTTGTCTGATGCGCCGAAAGAGGTCTTTGCAGATCTGCGGGATAATGCCTTCCTGGCCTTCCTCCCCGCGGCCCATCATTGTGTATGATTTGCCCGCGCCGGTTTGTCCGTACGCAAATATACATATGTTGTACCCTGTCGAGAAAAAAAAAACTAATAAACACTTTCTCCACAGTGCAAGAAAACATTGCTTACGAGGTATAAGCACAGAGCGATAGAATTTAAAAACTGAATTACAGATTGACAAATTTTAATAGAATTAATTTGACAACAGGTAACAATAATACCAACAACTAAAATAATATACACAACAGTAGCCAAGAACCAATATGGGTAATAAGAGGTACCAATATAGTTATAATGTCCGTGTAAGCTTGTCAAATAAACAAGCTTCCGAGTAATCATTTTAATTACAATTTATTTAGATAACTACTAGATAGATATACAACTGAATTAGCACAGATGTATTTAATTGAAATAATAAAAGTTAGTTACAGCCTCCTCTCATTTCCGAGAGGGTTTTAGGGCAAGGAAGTGTCCGCCGAGCTGCCCCAATTCGTTTTTGCGTGTCTTCAAAATATTTTTTTTTCTTATTTGTCAGACATGCAGGTTATTTCACGCTGATTTCCATCACCGCCGAGCACGAGATAAATCAGTACTTAAAATTGCAATTGACAATTTCATTCGTGCCGGCGGGAATCGAAACCGGTTTGCTCGCGTACTGTGAAATTTACAGCGAGCCCCTGAGCTACTACGGCTCTATTGAGAAAATACTACGATGTTAAGATGTTAATGCATGATTTACTTATCAAATATTTTATATGTGTTCACACGGAAATAATTTTCAAAATCAATTACAACTTCATTTTCTCTTTAACGATACAGTACTAAAGTTACTTACCATCAAATGCGTGTTGTAACATCTCTTCTCCAATGTCTTTATAGACCATTATTTGAGAAGAGAACTCTGGATCATTTGGCTGAAACAAAAATAATTGATTAACTTAACAATTATCTGTCTGGTTTTAAGCATGTACATAAGGCACCAGGATATGGTTGACAGCATACCAAGATACATTCAACAGCCTATCAAAGTCAACATATTATCATGATCCGTTACAAAAAGATAATGGTTGAAAAAATTTCTTTTCTTGCTCTATCTTAGTAGGTAAAGCTAACAAGAAAATGATATTATTAATGTTCGTTATTATCACTTATTTGGAAAAGCTTTCATTTGATCTTCCGGTGCATTCGGTTATATCGAACAGATTTATATAAATTTGAATAAATTAATAAGTTGAACTTCTCTAATAATCTTTACAATATGATGCTGCTCTACTCTTGTCTTAAAATATGCTACAAAATCGTGGACATTATCATTATTTGTATTCTACATCACCATCATCATCATTACATCCCTTCACAGCTCCACAGCTAAACATAGTATTTTATACAAACAAAACATTATTAAGTCATAATATTAAACTTAAATAGTTCAAAAAAGCGAACGTTCCGTTGCTATTCACTATCGTATTTTTATATAATAAGAGTGGCAAGCGAGCACACATGCTGGTAAGTGGATACAGTGGCCCATAGACATCTACATCTATCCTCGATTAAGAATCCAAATGCGGATGCGTTGTTACCCCTGAGGACTAAGATGAAATTCCTCATATGCAGTAACAAGGGTCTCCGGATCTCTACACTCATCATAATAAACACATTAGCATTGTGCTGCTCTTTTACACTGGTATTGTACTGACTGAGACCGTACTGACCAATCGAGAAATCCGTTTCTTGATTAGTTGGTTATTTTAAAATATAAAAATGAACTAAAGGAAACCCAACATATTTTTTGTACTTTAAAAAATGTAATAATGTTATATATACAGTAATATATATTACTTTCAATAAGATTGTAACAATAACACATCGATATAAAAAAACAAAGTGAATATGTAAATGGCTAGTGAAAAAATATTTATGCTAACAATGTAACAACATTATCGTTCAATAACGAAACCTTACAATACAGGTCACAGATAATCCTGTTGCGGCTAAATCCATTACAGACCACGTCCGAAAATGTACAAAAACGCAGTCTTGATGACTAGGGAGTCTTATTAATAATTATTAACCCTACATCTGAATTGAATATATGAATACGCTATATTAATATATTCATATATATAGATTCAAGATACTCAAAGATATTATATATTTAGATTTAAGATACTCAAAGACCATTTATTTTATTATTCGTTTATTCAAAAAATGTCTTCAAGTTTTTTGGATAAAATATAGCGAAAATCTAATTAATACTAGTTTTTACGGATTTTATCATCAGTTATATCAGCTATATAGCTGGTATAAAGAACATATAGCTGATATGAAGAATCGACGCTCCGGGAAGGAACACGTACAGAATCGCCCCCATCACCACATCAGATTTGATAGACCACAAAATCCTCGCTAAAGAACATCGATTCCTTCCAAGGATGATTCGCGAGGCTATTGAAATCAAAAAACATCCTAATTTCAATAGAGAAGATAGCTGGGTGCTACTATCTGTTTGGAATCCTACAATTAATAAAATTAAAACCCAACCCAAGCATACAACTGCAAAAATTCAAGATACTATAAATTCGTACTGCATAGATCGGAACAAAAATTAATAATTTTAATCTATGGTAACCGCGGTTAACTATGACATCTAGACGTTGAATATCTCAGTCTCCTCCGTGACCATGGGTGCTGTAAAGTGCTCGAAACGTCGGTAATTTAAAAAGTTAAACACGATAAAATCGGTAAAAACTAGTATTATTTAAATGTGTAGTGTTCGCGGAAATATAGGAAATCATTATATCTCTCTGGTTTCTATCTATTTTTAAAGTGTCATCACAATCGGTTCGGCCATTTCAAAGATTAGCCCGGAAAGATAGACAGACGGAAATACAGACAAATAAAAAAAATGCAAACAATTCCTTGAGCTAAATAGAAGCCATTTAGTTCAATATTTCAGACAGATACTTCAATTTTATTTATATGTATAGATAGACGAGAAACTTACATACTACTATATAGGATACAGCTATATTTTTGGATAGGTATAGGCATTTTTTATAGAATAAGGGTGACAAACGAGTACACAGTCCTCCTGAAGGTAAGCGGATTCTGTGGCTTATAGACATGTACGTTTATCTTCAATTAAGAATCAAAATGCAGAACCGTCACCAGTCCTGAGGATCGAGATGGAATTCCTAGTTTCCAGTAAAAAGGGTCTCCGGTTATCTACATTCACCATACGAAACACAGCAGCATTAAGCTGCTATTTTACGCTGGTATTCTGTGAGAGCGTGTTCCTACCCCGGTCGAGCCGACCCATTCGTGCTGCAACCACAATATGGCTCTACCAATACGTCACCCAATTTCGTCCCGTGGGTACCGTAAGAGACTTTTGGGAAATGCGAGAATTTTCACGGCTTCCAAGAGATGAATGTATGATTCTATAATCATTTTGTTTACAGAAAGTACCCCGTGCCTTTGAAGCATTAGCATCAAAAACACGAGACGTTTCTTACTGCGATCGTCAACCACCCCGCCCAGCGTTCCTGAAACCGGAGATATTCTCCAGCAGTGGTCTTTAACGGGCTGATGAAGATGAGCAAAAAGGCAGCCTCATGCAGATTTTGTAGTACGTAGATAGCTAAAATAGAGACAGAGAAAGCTAGGTAGATATGGTAATAAAGTAATTTATTTCAATACTTTATTACATTTTAAGATGCAAAATAGTATTAAGTAACAATTAGTGGACCATGTTTTCGATTTATGAAGATGGGCAAAATTAAGAATATCCTTAACCGAGGAGCATATATTCGTAGATATATGGATGTGAAAGAAACGAAAGAAGCTTTTCTGGATCGTGAACAATTGCAGTCCCTAACCTCTGTCTACACCTCTGGTTGACACCTGCTTAAAATATCATAAGAATTTATGTTATGATATTTATGAAATATCGTATGTTACCTTTCCTATATTTAGACTAGCTTTGCTTTGATCAATGTAAAAAAATACATATTAATAAGTGGTCTGAGATAAACAGCTTGGGGAACACTTTACTAAACTTTATAATATTTTAGTACTCGCATGCAGGGAAAATGTAATTTCAGTACAAGTATAAAAAACTGCATGATATAGACCACACTTTTTGGCAAGGATTTAACGTTTAAATCAAATATTAAAAAACATTTTAAAGACTACATTACATACTAAACTACATTTTGACTCATGCGGTACAATTATTTTACTCATGCGGTACGAACTATCGGACAGGTGTATGTATGATTTCAACGGATCCAAATATTTTTCATCGTATGTTGCACTATCCGATAAGGTAAAATGGTATGGTATGCTAAAATGTTGAAACCACTCTACTTCCAACGGAGGAAAACTTTTCACACGTTAAAAGGAATATTTAACCCCAGAAAATGCTCGTAATAATAAATCGCTTTTTACTTTTAAGATATACATTTACATAGAAATCATCCCAATCGCCCCTGCCAGTTGCTGGTCTGGGTATTTAATGGATGGCATTTTCGAGATGGTTATTACCGAAATCAATTAGAAGCCATAAATTACGACATCAGACAAAGAACTAAGATAATCGATTAATTTACGCCGCAACCACATAACAAACAGTAATTATATTAGGTCGTTACTTACGAAATAGACGTTTTTTATGGAATAAGTTAACGTTTTTTTTTATATTTTTATTTCTATTAATCAAAAGTAATCATCCATGCGATCCACGCATCTTTACGAACGCAGTACGGCAAATTCAATGACCTATTATCAAGAACTAAAAATTGATTAGCATTTGTAATATACTTTACTCAAGAAGTTCTCAATACGGTTGTAATATCTTATGTCTACATACAATATTGTCTCTAACTAAACCGATTACACAGCAAAAACAAGGCACGAACTAACAGTAAGCAATCGACGTTTCCATTATGTTTCCCATCTCCCCTATATTGACAGAGGAAATTTGAACCGCGCGACGTGGGCGGGCGACAACTTCATAGTATTATGTTTGTTATTGATTCTGAGAGTGGCGCGGACGATGCACAAACATACGACAGACAAGATCCTAATGAGAATTACTAGAGATACAAATCTTATGCTAAATTTAAAATAAATAATTCAGCATTTACAAAGTTTACTGACATGAAAAGCAATTCTGTCGTATAACCAGTGTCGGTTTGAGGCTGATTTAGTTTAATATTTTTATTTCTATTTTTAGCTTATATGAAATCATAAAGTTCATTCGTTGAAAGCAGATACAAAAATCTTTGTCATAAAAAATATTTTTATGCATGTTGGCTGATACACAAGCTTTCAGTTAACCTGATGCAAAGTGGACGCTGATACTCATAGATACATGCATTTATCTACGACGAAGAATCACAACCATGAACCATTTATGACGTGGCCACACTGCATTTATATTGTTACGAGCTTAGGGTTCGTGACAATAAAAACTGCCCATTGAATTACCAAAATTAACACTTTAATTCACTTTACACTAATTAAAACTTAAAAGGCACTAATAATTAATCACACTGATTCATTTTATTTCGCTCCGAAGCTTCGCTTGTCTCGCCAAATTCAATATTGCCCCGATCGCATATTGCAGCGCCTATAAATACACCTTTTTCACCCAAACATCCAGAATATTCAAGTAAATACGCGCGCCAACCGACCAGGCGCCGAAAGTTCGAGTGTAGGGCTTCTAGAAAGCTTAGTTCTTCAATTTTATACTAGATGGCGCTGTTGGTTGAAAGACTAGTCATGTCATTTTCTGGAAAGTTCCCTTCGCTCTGTTACCCGACACTAGATGGCGCTAGTGCCAGACGTCAACTTAAGCGCGCAACAATATTATAGTGAATGAATCGACTCAAGCGGGGAAATACCACGCCCTCACAGAATACAAGAGTAAAATAGCAACTTAATGCTGATTGGTTTCGTATGGTGAGTATAGAGAACCGAAAACCCTTTTTACTGGTATCGAGATTTTTATCTTAGTTTTCAGGGGTGACAACGTTTACATTTTTCATTAACCACCCATTGTCAGGTGGACTCAAATACATTTAAGTAGTAGCAGTAAATATATTTAAATCTCTTTGGGTGGACTAGCTCGTTAGTCACTTCTCTTTCATTTAAAAAAAAAAAGAAAACAATAATATACGTATAATTTATCGATATAATACTTACGTTGTGTGACCAGTACGAGAAATCAAAGTTGAAGCTTTTAGCACCATCCTTGTTGCCAGGCGGAGCTTTAGGGTTTAATATAACTGTAACAAAGAAATAAAAAGATTATTGGCATTGTCAAGATTATTGTCGTCTTATTTAACGACAGATAAATATAAAAAAGTTCCTACTAAAGTAGGTAAGTATATTATGATTGTAGCACAAATGGGTCGGCTCGACCGAGGAGGGACCATGCTCTCACAAAATACCTAAGTAAAATAGCAGCTTAATACTGCTGTGTTTCGTATGGTAAGTGTAGAGATCCGGAGACCTTTTTTATTGGAAACGAGTCATTCCATCTTAGTCCTCATGGGTGACAATGCATCTGCATATTGATTCTTAATCGAAGATAAATGTAGATGTCTATGGGCCAAGGCATTCACTTACCATCAGGTTAACTGTTTTGATCACTTAGTTACTGATATTTAAAAAACACTAGATGAATCTTTTTAGTGTGCTCAGACAAAACAAACTACGACTGTCGGTATGTAAAAATCCCTTCGAAATACTTTAGAATACTTCAGACGCTTATGTCAAAAACAAAGTGCCACTAGAAAAATCGCACTAAAATCTACGTTTGTGCATGTGTGCGTAACGAAGGAGGCGGTATTCTGTCAGTCGTAATAAAAGGATAGAATTTGTATTTGTGCGCGCACTGGAGAAGGAGAAGCTAAGGTGTTGGAAGGGCGCTCGTCGTCGGCACGTCGCGACGTATCGACCGACGGTTACGACGTAGCGTCGCTTTTCCATTTACACGTAGAAATCTTGGAAGTGTACAAACGTCATTAGCCTTTGTGTGGGTTATATTATTTTTGGAGTTTACGAAACTTTAGTAGTTTTCACCGAAGACTAAATTAATTTTATAATAAATGAGGAATTTTTATCTATGCATGAGAATAGAGAAAAAAATATCAAGAAACGAGATATATAAGTCAAAATTTCATTGTAAATTCCATTTATGCTCAAATTTTATTTCTTTCTTAATTTATTACTGTTTTTACTACTAAATTTATACTGTTAAATTCCACTATTGGACATAGGCCTCCCATATAGATAGCCTCATAGAGGGGATATTTGCCACAGTTGCCATGCTTGGCAAGCGGGTTGGCAACCGAAGTTTTTTATTTTTAGTCGTTATAAGGAAACCGCTGCTGCCCATCTCCACGTTTGTTTTCCTCTGTCTCTCCTTACGATAGCCACGGTATGTTATTGGGTAGAGTATATTCTTACACAGCCACTTCACGAGTAACATTAGTTATCATATATTATACCAGGCAAAACTAAAGACTTATATTGTTTAATCAGTATCTTTATTTGAATAGCCTATAATATGTATAATATGTAAAAGACATTATTAACATATAACATAACATAAACACTCACGCCTGTCACCCAGAGGGGTAGGCAGAGACTACAGACTTCCATTTGGCACGATCCTGACACACCTCTCTTGCCTCTTTCACATCCATACACCTACGCATACATGCTCGTCGGTTAAGGGTACTCCTAATTTGGCCCGTTAGCAATAAATCGCCAATTTGGTCGATAAATTTTCGCCTAGGACGTCCCTTTCCGACTCTGCCATTCACTTCTGCACCATAAATTTTCTTTGTCACTCTTTCCTCATTCATTCTTTCCACATGACCAAACCACCGAAGCATTCCTTTCTTAATCCTGGTCACAACATCATCTTGCAAACCACACTCTTCTCTTATTACACAATTTCTTACCCTGTCATTCAGATTCAGCCCTAACATACTCCTTAACGACCGCATTTCTACTGCGTTTATTCTACTCTCGTGCTTTTTCTGCCACACCCAACTTTCACTACCATACGTTAAAGTAGGGACCAACACAGCATTGTGAATTGCCATACGTGCCTTTTTCGACACATTTTGACTCTTCACAATAGAGTGCAAGGCCCCATTTACTCTATTTCCCGCATTCACTCGTCGTTCTATATCCTTATCATATCTCCTATCCCTGCTAAATACGCAGCCCAAATATACAAACTCATCTACTTGCTCGATCAACTCCCCTTCTATTCTTATTTCACAAATCGTTTTACTTTCTTCTCTTTCAAAAACCATAACCTTCGTCTTACTTGCGTTCACTTTCATACCCCTTTCTTTTAATGATCCGTTCATTAATGTAACCATCATTTGCAACTCGGCCGCCGACGACGCAAGAATAACTTGATCATCAAAAGGCATTTGACGGTTAACTCACCCATTCTTAATCCGCATTCTTCAACTTTCAAATTTTGCAAATAAATATTTATTTATTTAATAAACATCATTAAATAAATAAATATTTTTAAAACTGTTCACTTCACTATTTACTATCGTAAATTTATTTTGAAAATCACACATTTAGTGTAAAGCTGGAAGTAGACAAAATTGCCGTTCAGTTTTACATTATTATATGAGATGTCCGTTATCTCTTACAGTCCAACAAAGATTCACTGCTGAACACAGCACTAACCAACAGTGGATAGTTAATATATATATGCCACACTTAGCAGGCGGGTTGGCAACTTCGGTTTTTTTTTAAACTTATTAATGGCAAAACGTTGCTGCACATCTCTTGGTTTGGCTCTCTATCGCTTTTTATGCCACCCACAGAACGATATGTGGTAGTGAGTATTTTTACACCGTTACTACACGGTATATTAGATGTATATTCCTTGAAATATCTTCACCTAATTTTTTATATTAATACGAGTATTGTTTGTATAAGTTCCAAAATCGAAGCCTTAATCGAAAAAATCGACCTCAACTTAGTAAATGCTTATATTCCCTCTCTTTCTCTCTCATTCCTTACCAAATGAAAATAGAGACAGGTATAGAGATAATAAATGCTCAATTTAAGTACGCGATAGTCAATCGCTTACCTAAATTATAATATAAGTAAGGCCGTATAATATAATAGCTGTAGCTGTATAATATTATATGGACTAAATATGTTCAAAAATAAATTATATAACATTGCAACGTGGTCAACGATAAAGATTCATTGTTTCCGTAAACAATTACCCTAAAGTAAAACAATTACCCTAAAGATGGGAAAATAGGGGTGATTTATTGTGTACTCACAGATTTTAATGTTGAATTGTGTATTACAACATTAAATAATGATTACATTACATTACAAAAAAACCTCACGATGAATGAGCTTTAGACCTGTCAGTTTCTTGTGTGTGGACCTCTCGGTCTCTGCATTTCTGATAAAGCTCGTTCCGTAGTAAATAATACCATCTTACTCTCACCGTGTACTTAAATAATTAAAGTATTTAGTTTTAATCATCTCCACATTATGTTTTCCAACATATGTGGTACACCGACTCTATCTTTCCAAAAAATTTTGTCAACCGACGAAAAAACGGAGGAGGTACTCAAGTCGGCGCGTATATTTTTTGTTTTTTTATGAATGACCACGCATAACTTTTTACGAAGTAGTTCGATTTCGATAATTCTTTTTTTATTGGGTATAATCTTACCTTAAGGGTGGGAAAATAGGGGTTATTTATTAAAGAGTAGTCCGATTTTGATGATTCATTTATATTGGATAGGATATTATCTCGAAATTGGTCTCATATAAATTTGGAAAAAAATTACCCTAAGGGTGGGAAAATAAGGGTGATTTATCACATAGTAGTTCAATTTTGATAATTATTTTTGTATTGGATAGGATATACCTCGAAACTTCCATATAAATTTGGAAAAAACAATTACCCTAAAGATGGGAAAATAGGGATGATTTATTGTGTACTCACAGATTTTAATGTTGAATTGTGTATTACAACATTAAATAATGATTACATTATATTACAAAAAAAACCTCACGATGAATGAGCTTTAGACCTGTCAGTTTCTTGTGTGTGGACCTCTCGGTCTCTGCATTTCTGATAAAGCTCGTTCATTGTGAGGTTTGTGTGATACCTTATTTGGCTCGAGATCAGATAAAGCAATACCCTGAAGTGTTTTTACTTTACTCAGTGCCACATATGCCTGCCCTTTGGCAAACATTTTTTTCCGAGGTCGATTACAGCTTTAAACAAATAATAGTTAAAGTAGGATTATATAACAGTTAATAGCTAAAGTAAGGTATGTAGTTATTTTAAAAGTAATCAAAAATTAAGCTTGTAGTAATTAGTCATAGAGAATATAACCACTAGAGAGGGTATAGGCAGATTTCTACTAAGCATACGACTCACTACTGCGGGCCGGGGGACGAGGAAGAACGCGTGGCTGCAAATGGTCAAGTTGCGTTGTTATGGCTATCTTTAGGGTTGCTCTTCTTAATAAAGGAAAATATTCGTTATCGATAAAATGGATTTTATCATTATGAAAAATACTCAATTAAATTCATAGAAATAATATTTAATCAAAATCAATCAGTTACAACGAAAACATTTATTTATTATATTATTATTGATTTTTAAAATGAATTAATTTGTTATATTTATTTCGAATTAAAGTTTAAGGGTCGTGATTGTTCTTTGTAAAAATTTAAACAAGCGTCTACATATTTGTAAATTATGCATCTTGCTAATTCAATTAAATGATTTATTTCATATATTATTGATTCTATTTCAAATTGATGAAAATCAATATACGGGAATCAATAATACCTAATCAGAGATTTTAAAAACCGTTCTCATAAAATAATTGGTACTATATTTCGAAGACCACTCCACCACTCTCACTGATTGCCCTCTTATTAAAAATTTTACAACGACGACAAATATATATTACTGTAGTGGATCCGTACAATAAATTGTCTTTAGTGTCCTTTTGAAATTGTAAGCCATTCTGATTTGGTACACCAATCTAACTAATTTAACTAGGTAACTATAAACTTTAACTAAGAAAAAATACCGACAAACTGAGAACCTCCTCTTTTTTCTGAAGACGGTTAAAAGTAGATAAGTATTTTTTCACAGTGTGTGAATTGAATAATCTTTTTATTAGTTTTAATTTTATTATTTTCGATATCGACTTTCAGCTATTAAAGGTAACAGTAAGTCCTAATGTTTACGATA